GCCGCTAGCGTGGAAGGATAGGTTGTCCCACAAATGTGTTTACTAAGCGAACTTCCTACAAACCCCAACAGTTCTCTCCAGTCAATAAGAAAAAAGATAGTCCACACCGCCTTTATTTCAGACAAAAAAGTTCACGAATACTGCCATAGCATCAGTAGTCTACAGCCGACATACATAGAAGACAGTCCTGTGAGCCCGAGTGCAGTTACTCTGCATGCCTCCTCATAGGGAAAATACCCATTTTGCTCAAAAACGTAACCAGCACCGAGACGGAGACAAAGGCCTCCGGTGGGAGCGAAGAACACGTACTGGATGGACCATGAGGTTCTCTTGGATCCTTCAAACCTAACTTACAGGATGAGACAAAGATGCATCTCCTTTTTGAAAAGTAGTCTGATATGCATTTTGTACAATTTTTATACACACGGTTATTTTTCACTGTATCTGTCGTAATGTACTAGATTTATTTTGTACGAGTAATTATTTTTGCTGTACTTTCACATTTTTTCGTATGTTCTAATTCGTCCATTATGTCCGGTAATGGTTTTTGGTGGAGTTCTAATCCAGGTGCACCTGGTGCTGGAAAGGAGGCAAACAAAAGCAAACAAACACGAAAACTAAATGCAAACATTTAACCATCACACATCACATAAGCATAAACAGAAAATCAGAGGGCGATACACTGCTCTCCAGAGGGCTTTAACTAGTGGCGCCAACATTTGACTTTTACTCCCGGCCGGGACTGTAGTACGATCCTCACGACCAGTCTAGGCAGGGACCAGAGACGGTAAAACATTCCTCAAAAATTATTGGCCTACAGCATTCACCATTCAACACTGAGTGATGACTTCTACTGTTTAAGTCACCTGCGTAAAATGAGGGTAAGGTATCAGACATCCACTCCACTTGGTACGCTGTAGTGTTCGTTTTGGTCGCTCGTGCACATATTCCAGCCAGTTAGATCACCGTCTCCCCACATTCCTCAACTCGAAATATAACTCGCATTTTGGACAATCCCTTTATTGTTTTGATTCGTCTATAGTTTCATCAGGACAAGTCATTCGGGAGTTGGAGAACAAGTACTTGAGTTTGCATACGAAATACCTTGCATAACCATCGATAGTCTTCATCTTCTAAAATCTCCCCACCTGCCACCGTGTTTTTAAACTGACACACAAAATGTCCACCTCTTCAGAATTTCGAGCAACTATTGGACTTAACAGAACTAATCTAAGTAAAATCACCGCAGCAAAATTATTGACGTGAAAATCTGGATAGAGGAAGAGCAACCGTTTGTGCAGAACAAGATGGTACGCGAACGGTTGTTCTTACCTTGTCCAAATTCATAAGGGGAATAAATGTAGGAAGGACCTAGAAGTTTTTGGATGAATTTCTAGGCCATGGTCCAGACACAACAGCAGCTTTATTTTGTAGACTGCTACGTCTTCTCACAGGACCGGCAACTTACTGAAGTAGAATAGACTGCTTGTCAAGTGAAAGGCCCACTTGTTTAACGCTGGCTTACTGAGCTTGTCCTGGTGGTTGGCAGGCGCTGACTTGGAAGGACCCATTGGGTGCCACATCCAGCCAGTAAGATATCGTCACCCTTCTGTGCTGACTTTCTGTGGTTAAAGTCTATTTCTGTAATGATTTTTTATAGTTCCGTAACTGCATTAGGAATTTATAGGACCAATCACGCATGTTTGCGGTGATTCTTTTAATCATTATTCATCATATAAAATCTTCGGATCTGTACGGATACGTCTTTTCTGATGAAAACTGTGTCAACCATACGTCGCTAGGTATCCAGAAAGGGTTAGATTTATTGACCTAGACTGAACTTCCTGTGTCTATAGGGAGTAGCGAGCTTTGAAAACAATGAGTTGTGGTTGAAAATGTCCCTGAAGAGTATCTGGTTGACATAGGTACGATGGACTGAACCATTAATTTATTTCAGTGTCACTATTCAAGTTGGGTTACGCTATATAAACTAACAGCCTGTCTGAAAATTCACACTGTCCACGTGATGTTAATGTATTCCCGTAGTTCATAACATAGTTTATCTAACAGTTAGAGAAAGGGATACAGTCAGGCGCCATGTGTTATTATTGTTGCAAGAAAAATCTAACTATGAAATGATAATGGAACCTCAAGGATAAGATAGAGCCATCTTATTAAAGGAGTTGAGAAGATTGGCACATACTTTGACTGGTAAACTGATGTGTTATTGGAAGATACAACTACTTAGATTATCCGGTCTCCTTCAGATATCCCTTGACTTTACCTAGTTCTCAATCTATAACTGAATTGACCACTCGGCGCTACCACCAAATAAGGCGCACAACCACATAACATGAGTTACTTAAAATGCTTGGAAAGTCAAAGGCATCAGTTCGTTTAGACAAAGCCGGTAAAGGCATATTTAAGGGATAATTTTGATCGGTAAAAGATGGCATTTTCATCATATCATGGAGTTGAAAAGGATTTTCTTTTCACAGGAAAAGGATGTTTTAAGCCGTTGTGAGTGCGTACATACATATCTTTGAACGCATGCTCCACGCTCGGTAGACTTAAACGCGGTCGTAATTGTCTGGATGGGCTTCGTGGGAAGTCACGGAAGTACAGGACAGATTTAGTTTATGATTATTGTTCATTTAGGTTCCTAGTGGAACATATGGCTTCAACTGCACGTCTACACTTGAAGATTTAGTTTAGGTGGAAAGAAATTTGAACAATCACTACAACGTCCTAATGGCGTCGCTGCAAAAAGTGCATAGCCGATAGGAGTCACTGCAAGGTGTAGGAAGGACAGGAACGGTCTGGTAAAAATCGCCATGGCAGGTATGAAAGAAGGCACTGTTAAAAGATATGTGCAAAAACATTCTGTTATCGATGGAAATGATGGATTTCAGTCAGTCTTGTAACTCAAAAAGTAAGGGATGAGCAATAACTGTCTGCACTCAAAAGTGTTCTAGTGTATGAAGAAATTCAATTGCTGGTGTCGCGGAATAATTATTTTGAGACTCTCATCTATTTATAATTCTGCTATGTTTCCAGTACCTTCACTAAATTCTTCATTGATATCCTATAACTCTGGCACATGTATCAATATTTTGAAATTTGTGGGTCTTCTCTTGACTTTTCCTGTAATATCTGTCTTCTGTTTTTCGTTATTATTCCTAGTAGTTCGTCTTACTATCGTGTGCTGATAGTCTGTTGACGACAGTTTATTGCTTTACTAATGTGGGCACCTCGTTCCACTCATTTCAAGATTGCATCATAAAGTGGCTGTCTTCCCATTGAACTTTCTGGGAAAAATGCACTTTAATCTAGTTGATTGTTGATCTTTTCCTGGGGAATATTCTTGCTTATTCTCCGGCATTTTACTCCAGTGTTTGACTCTATAGTTTTTTTTGAGTACTATGTTGTTGAATTGTCCTGCATCAGAGTTCCTTGTTATTTGTAGTTTGTGGCCAGGCACCCCAACGTTAGCATCAGGTAAGCAAAGACGTCTGTTGGTGGGGATATCGGTGTTTTAGAAATGCTTCTGACGGCATTTAGAACAAAAACATGAACCATATAGAGGCACTAGTATGACATAAGTATTAGAAATTCGGGCCTTTTTACTTGTGATCACTTCTGTAGACCTCCATACTGTTTCAAGAACAAGGAAAATCTGTCGTGATCTCCCGATCAGGTCTTGGTTGGTTCCAACATCCTTATCCTTTGCACCTGTAGCTGGCTAAAGACTGCACATATAAGTGAAGGTGACGACTTACCTTAGACTTCTCCCTATGATCGTGATCGGATATTTGTAGCACGTCTATTGTCCCCAAGTTCACCTGAAGTCCTATTTTCCCTATCTGCTCTGCTAAATTATTTGTTTCTGCTTCTAAATCTTCCGATTTGTGTAGAAGGAAAATACAGCGTCCGAGGAGCGCGGATCTTCTGGGGCCCATTTCTTCGTCCAATGTTGGTCTGGTTTCTAGCAACCCACGGTTCGTTGTATGGTCCAGTCCAGTTCACTTTGCACGGACTCCTGGCATTATGCTCTCCCACATGTACTCCAATATGGCTTTGTCCGTTGAATGGTCGGCGCATGCTTTTTTCTGTTTGAAAAGCAAAGCTGTCTCTGAAACTTATGTTGCTCAAAACGATAAGGCTATTAATTTATCAGTCAGTGAGAATTCTAGATTTCAATATCTGCTTTATGATTAATTGACAAGGAGCGCAGCAATTTCACTGCCATCGCCTCAGAAACTTCTCAATTCTAAGAAGTCAAATGCGTTGCAGTAAATATCCCTTCGTTTCAGACAACCTCAAAAATCTAGTATGAGCAGACAAAATAGTCTGAGATTTTAGGTTGCAATACGGTGATTAGGTACATGCCTTATTTTCAAAATTTCAGGTGAAAAATATCTAAAATAAATCCTAAACCAATTGAGTGTGGTTGCCTAGTTCTTTAAAGTTTATTAATCAATACGACCATCCGCTTTTCTTTACGGAATTATCGAGGTGCAAAAACGTCGCACTATATACATTAAAGTGGGTTTAACAAGCATGTAATATTGTCAAAAACGTAACTAATCGCGATGACTTTAAGCTCAAATTCATGAAGGAAAGTACCGAAATGTGAAATTTCATATTACTCGGCCATGAAAACCCGAGAACTGATGCGGACGTCTTAGAATGTGAGATTACCTACACCACGAATATGTAGCCTGAAATGTGTATAGTAAGAATAGGAGACTATGTAGGCTATTGACGACAATCATATTATAGAATCGGACTACCTTAAGGACCTTGGTTTCAGCCATTATCATAAGAACAAACAAAACTAGTGCTGGTCCTTTTTCCAATATAGCTGCGAGAAGGTATATAAATAACGAATACTAAGTAAGGGTTGTATCTTAAAAGATCAAAATGAGATTATTTTGCCAATTTTTTATGATCCTGAAAACTTTTATGACATTGAAGATACGACCGAAGACCTTGAAAATGTTTTAAACGTTGGCATCTACGTTGAAACAAGTGGTGGTTTCATAGCGCTACTTATGTATTGAGTACTTTTCCGATCTAAAGTGGGTCACGAGGTTTTAAAATTCTTTCATATGGTGACTTTTGTAGGGTAAATTTTGTGAAAATCTACATATTAGGTAGTTTAAGTACATGCACATGCCAACAGCTATTGGAATATTAAATATGACACTAATTTGAGCTGTGTCTATTCTCTACAGGGTGTAAATAGATTTATTGTGTTTTAAACGAAATACATTGATCATTAGTTTCTGTTTGCGTTGCTCATCGAGCTGAACTCTACGCATCAGTCCAGTTAACACTCATTTACCGGATTATACTCTAATTAGATAATAATTACTAGTTTCCCTATAAACTCCTTGGGAAATGGTATATATTTTCGTATATTGGATGCTAGTAAGACATATGGTTTGGATTCAGCTTTCTTAGTGACGATTTTACTACGTAATGTCTCACACTGTGATCCGTAAGTACATAGGAGTTTAATTACTTTGAATTGCTTGTTGATGTGATATAGGTGGAAGTCCTTTGAGATAGTTAACACATTGTTTGAAGACTTGCGTTTAGCATAATAACTTCAGGTTATCAAAAGTGTAATCTAAAGCAATGGACGAAATAATCTATGTGGGAAAAATAAAATATCTGATAATGTAGGGTGATAGGTTTTCACGTTTGGTACTAGTGTCTCTGTAGTTAGTGTAATTGCAGAGTCTGATGTCCTACATCCCCACCCTAGGTAGCTGTCAGCTTATAGAAATAGTTCTGCATACACCAATTAACCTTCACGAAATGCTCTCTCTGCAGCCTATTTGAAGAAGTGAACCGTACCGGAATAGTTTCATATGTGTCAGCGTTATTGGCTGAGAAGAAAAACCTGTTGCAGTTTACCAACTTTATGTATGCGGCATTGAAGTTAACTCAGTACCTAACTGTATCGTCAGTCTCAGAGATTTCCTTAACATAGTGAAAAACCTAGAAATTTTTATCACAGTCGAATACAACTTTGAAAGCCACACTTACACCCCTAGTAACCACCAAGTCTTCCGTAATCGATACCCTAAGTCGAGTCACCATCAGCCATTATTATTACTGCTTTTATTATTCCCTTGCGTTCCGATTAGTACATAGAGCTCCAACAGCATATCTCCACTCTATTCTCTGCTGTCCTCTTCAGCTGGGTCTGCGATTGACCATAATTTCTCATCTCCTCGCACGATCTCCTCCATGACACCGTCGCACTGACAATCCACTCGTCGCTTCCCATTGGGATTCCACTCGAACCATAACCTGGTGCGAAACGCCATCCGATCTCCTCCTCAGCGTATGCCCGATACATCTCCATTTTCTCCTACATATTTGTTGAGCGATCGGTTCATGGTTGGTTTGTTCCACTCCAGAGTTTCTTGTTGCTTATTCTTTCTGGTCAGCCATTTGATCTTCAGTATGGAGCCAGCGAAGTTTGCATATGTTGATGAAAGTCTGCAGTAGTCCGTTGGAAATCCTTTCCGTGACACGCAGTTCAAGTTTCTGACCCGTATAGAAGAGTTGACTGACTTCACGTTTGTGTTGAAAATGCAAATCTTGTTCCTTATACCGAGTGCAGAAGATTTCCAAAGTGGTTTCAGGTTGATGAAGGCGTATTTCGCCTTTCAGATTCTGACTGGCTTTGACATCAAAGTCTGTTCCGCCTGTGGTTGAAACCGTGCTTCCTAGATAAGTTTCCCCCTATGTTGGTGATTGGTGCTGGTTGTTGTTGCTGTTGGTTGGTTATCTTCATCACCTCCGTCAACGATGTCTGGTGAAGCCTTTTTTGAAGTTGATGTGGAGTTTTGACTGCCATTCTATGCTTTGTGTGATGATAATGACGATGCGTAGAGTTGCAATTCGATCAGCACATGATTTGCCTTTCCTGAATCCAGCTTGTTCCGAGAGGAGTTCTGTATCCAGTGTATCTTTCATTCTCTCCAGAATGATGCGACTTAGTATTCTATTTGGTGTGGACAAGAGCATTATTCCACGTCATCTCTGGAAGAGGCCTTAGTCGCCCTTCTTTGGAAGCTTGATGAGGTAGCTAACCTTTTTTCCGACCGGTAGATACCTTTCCTTCTTTTCAAACCTTTTGCAATAATGGCGTGAGCACATCTGCCGCAGTCTCTGGGTCCGTTTTCAGTGCTTCGGGGCAGGAGAGGGGAATTCCCTTTGGTCCTGCTGCCTTCCCGACTGGATCTCGATAGCTTAATCGCATTCAGGATTTCTGCTTTCGCCGGAGAATCGGTGTCCATTGGCAGTTCTGTGCTTGTTGTTGTTGGTATTCTTGGTCGAGTTGCAGGTAATGGTTGATTCAAGAGTACTTCGAAGTGATCAGCCCACTGTTTTATTTGTTTCTCCTCCTTGGTAATTAGGTCCCCTTGAGCATCTTTTATTGGTTTCATCATCTGGGTTGATCTCTTCCCAGATAGAGACCTGGTAATCTGATATAATGTTCTAGGGTCTCTTTTATTTGTGATCTGTCTGTTCTTCCTCAGTTGCCGGTGTGTCGTAGAATTGTCTTTTGTCTTTCCTAGGACTCTTCTTCACTTCTGTATTCATTGCAGTGTACATTGAACTCAACTTCTTCTGTTGTCCATCTCTGCATTGAGTCATCCTCCCTTTCACCATCCTCCTCTCTTCTATTAAAATCCAGGTACCCGTTGAGAACCATTCCTTGTCTTGTCTCTTCTTTCTTCCTATAATATTTGTACACGTTACCTTGAACATCCCCTTCAGAGAGTTCCAGTGTTCTTCCACATAGATTTGCTCAGTGATGTCACGTAGTGTCTCCGACTTTGCTCTGAGGTGATCTGTAGTGAAGGCATCCCTACTAGTTTTGTCCTTCAGTTTCTGAGTTTTGTATTTGAATTATGGCCTGTCTCTAGTGGTTTTGAGGGATTTTAGCTCCCCCTTGAAGGTTCCTTTAACTAGATGATGGTCTGAACCCGTATCTGCTCCCCTTCTCGACTTTGTGTTCAACAGGTTGCGTTTCCACTTCCTTGAGCAGCATTGAAATGAAGTCTATGTGGTGTGTCCGTCAGGTGAAATCCATGTTGCCTTGTGTACATCCTTGTGCTAGTACACGCTGCCTCCGATCACCGAAAGCGTAGATTTCTATGAATAGTTCTCCGTTGTCATTCATTTCTCCGAGCAATAGTTTGTGCTCTAAACGTCATCAGTAAATATTACTGTACAACACTGTGTGATTTATCAAAGTAAATTCTAATCCATAATGGACTTATGCTCTACCACATTGCCCAAGTTTTATACTTATATCATTTCTGCGAGAGCCTGTTGACCCATTATGAGTTCTTTTCCCGTATTATCTGCTCCCAGTTCAGCTGGCATTCATATCACCCACACCATCAACCATACCTAAGGAATATTCTCCTAATGTTAGGGCTAGGTCGTCTTCATACCTTCGTAGTCAAATTCTTACACGATTTTGTAGGCTCACATTACCTAAGTCAAACATAATGGCGACCTATAGTGGTAAGGAGATTCAGTTGCATCCACTGACAGTAGTTTGTAGATCGTCGCGAAACTAAGGTATGTGTGGGTTCGTAAATGTACTAAATATGTCCTCAAACTTACTACACGCACTATTAACATTCAGTTCCACGTTAACTCACTGTACGCTTGAATAGTAATGACGTTTACCTGCCAAACGTCTGCCGATATTTAACGTGGTTGAGAAATATGTTAGAAATCCTGAATTCATGTGGAACGACTACGTCACCAATGTTTTCTAATACGAAGTATAGAAAGATCTAATGCAGGATGACTGTTTTACACACTAGTGCAGTGCGTTACTTAGTGTAGAACTCAATTCTCTGAAATTAAACTTTATCATAGACACTTTATCGGTTTGTATTTAAGCTAATTATGCTGTCTGGCTATCATTACTTGAGGTATATCTGTTCTGAAGTCCTCACCAGCGTGTTTTCACGATTATGCAGCCTGGTGTTTAGGTTCTGTTTTAAATGTTTCTGTTTAACTTTGATAAGTCGAGGAATTATATTGTTTATTTATGTAAAAACTAGGTATACACTTTCGTGTATTATCACCTTGTTAATACAGGCCATTCAAATGATTTTTCTTATCGACTTTGTGTATTCTCATTGTTTATATTTTCATGTTTGAACTTTCTGTCTCTTGTTAATGTTGAATTTGAACATTTTAACTGCAGACAAATTAATTTGACCATGAAGAAGTTGTTGCGACTTCTTCCCATTCGACGATGTCCAACTTGGTACAAGTTCGCTAGGTACTCAACACATCCACAAGACTCAAATTTCATACGACTTCATGGCATAGATGTACTACGAGATCCAAGGACTAATCGAGTGAGTTGCTATTCAGTTTATTTTTGGCGCATCAATGAGAATTTAGCTGTATTGTCGAATATTTACTGACTCAAATTCGCTTATTTTTAGGGGACAGCATTCACCCTCAACGAGCGACAACTACTCGGTATACATGGCCTACTTCCACCATCCGTACTGACTTTGGATCAACAAGTATCAAAAATGTTGGCGAACCTAAAAAACATCAACGACAATTTACAGCGCTACATATACCTTACTTCGTTACAAGACCGAAATGAAGCCCTGTTTTATAAAGTATGTTAAGGCGTTTAGTGGTAAATTTGTTCTCTTTTTCATCTCATATAGAGATTAAGCTAATGGCTTATTAAGGTCTTGTTGCATTCCTGACCTTTTATTAGTATTATTCCGAACATAGCATTTGATTTATTTGTTAGCATGTCTGTAAACTGCCTTTTCGGAATGAGCTTTTGCATATAATTTAACAATATATCAAAGGAAAAAACTGTTGGTATGAGATTGCTGACGTTGTGGACTGTGTTCTCCACCCTATGTCACTACACTAGTTCTCACAGTTAACGCGCGATAGAGAGCTTGTGGAAATGAAAAATTTGAACACTTAGTGCTGAATGATACACACTTTACGGGACACAATATGGTTTTAAAATGTCCGTGCTTCCCAAATTTCTGTTTTAAATCGCTCTGAAATGCACACTAAGATATGTCCTGATCTGTAAACTGATTCAGATTTGTAACATATGTGAGAAAAGTAATTCATTATTTTGGGGATTGCATGTAAGCAAACAGTAGTATTTGCGCTTCTTTTCTATTGTGGCTACACACTTGTTCAATTATTTTTAATTGAAAACTATCTATGTGATTTAAATTTCCTTAGATATGGCTTACAGTTCAGCTACTTTTAATGTGACTTGTCTTCCAGAAGCACTGGTCTTTAAATTATAGTGTTTCTAAACTTGAAAAACACGAGATTCTAGCTAGTGTTTATATGAATGAATCTGTTGACAGAGCAACGATTGTAAGCCGAATTTATTCAACTGTGACTTGCAAATTTTGCATCTTTAAAATAAGTGGTTGCTGCGTAAACAGTACATTGTAATTGAGGCGGATAGCTAGATTTTGTGTATAGGTTTTGCTCGCTTCCAGCAAATTGTTTTGTTGAGTTGTCCCCTTCATTGTATCCTTTTGAAATGTGTGTGTTTCCTTTGTCGTCACTGAGGTGTAAATCGTGCGATTCTAAAAAGTGTCGTCAAAAAATTACAAATGTGGAAAACAGAAAAATTTGGAAAAACCAATACTTTTTAAGAGTTGGTTTGTAAGGATTAGATTTGTTTTTACGAATTTCACCACGAGTTAATATCAGTTAGAGACCCATTGAAAACCAGCAGGGAGTACTGGACACTTGTTGCATCCTGGTTTGGGAATCATCAGCAGTACGCAACCACTGGGATTCGAACCCAGGACCTCCCGGTTACAATGCAAGCTCGTATACCATTCAACCACTGGGATCCGATTGGGAATATATGTATTCAACTTCAAAGCTAGCTGTACTGTTATCATAAGACAACGAAACAATGTTAGAAGCATCGTTCTTCCAGTGACCGGTAACTAATCTGTTTTTACCCTGTTGTTTACTTTTGGATAATATTGTTCATATACGCTACGTATTTCACATGGGGTTTTCCCATAGTCATTACAGATCCTTCATATTCCACAGTCCAAATTTAAGCACTACGCATTGCATATATTTCACCTTTGAGGAAGAACCACCAATATGTGAAAGCAGTGAATGGAATTTATACAATAGATACCACAAATGTATTTCGTTTAGGAGCATTTGAAGAGGAATAGTGGGCAAAATCCACCTCTTGCCAAACAAAAGCTGAATTTTGACAAGTAGATATTCTGTCCTTGTCTGTAAAATGACATCACACTTTCAAATTACAAGTTCTAGAGTCAATAAAAAGTAAAAATTTTTATCTGTGTGATTGAAAAAGTCGAATTTCTGCTGTTGCCGAGATTTAATTTTGCTCTTAAACGGATTATGCCAACGATTTAAGTTTTCGTCTGGAATCTGCTTCTGTCGTCAATTAATGAATAAAATCTACTTCTAAATAGTCAAGAGTTAGAGCCAGGAATTATGTGGAATATTCTTTTCACTGTGCCGTCTGTATAAATGAGCATAACACCATGGACAGAGATTTCTTCTCCCATAAATCTTGTCTTCTACTTAAAGGAAATTGAATATCTATTGATAAAAAACTATCTTAAAATGCTCAGATCAAACTAATGGGTTGTTTACTTGTTACCTGTTTCTCTCCTCAGCTGGTCATTGAACATGTAGAGTACTGTATGCCGTTGATATACACGCCAACTGTAGGTTTGGCTTGTCAACGTTATGGTGTGGTGTTTCGAAGACCTCGGTAAGATGTTGTTAGAGCTAATTTCATTTATTATAAAGAACGAAAACTTTTTCATTATTATTATTATTGGCAACTACTTCGCTACTACGGAGTGCCACCGCCAATTATACATCTCATCCAACAGCTGTACGACAATGCTGCATGCCAAGTAATCCACAACGGGAAACCTACGGAATCCTTCGAAGTGAGGACAGGAGTAAGACAAGGCTGCCTACTATCGCCAATGATTTTCCTGATTGCAGTAGATTGGATAATGCGACAAACAGCGGACAATGAGGAAACAGGCATAAAATGGACTCACACAAAAAACTTGGAGGATCTGGACTTCGCCGATGATATATGTCTGATTTCCCACAAACTGGAAGATATGCAAGTGAAAAGCAACAAGTTGGCAGAAAAAGCATCCAGAGAAGATATGACTTCCTTCAGGTGAACATAGAGAAAACAGATGTGGTGAAGATTCCTGGGCAACACCACCAACAGCAACAACAACAACAACAATCAGCATAAATGGGAGGAACCTGAAAGAAACAACCTCCTTTACCTACCTGGGAAGCATCGTTTCAACTACAGGCGGAACTGACGAGGATATCAAAGCAAGAATCGGAAAAGCAAGCCTGGCTTTCATTACTCTCAAGTCTGTGTGGAGGTCAACAGCACTCAGCATGCAGTATAAGATCCGGATTTTCAACTCCAATGTGAAGTCAGTGCTACTCACCATACTGATCAGAGACTTGCACTGCGCGTCATAAAGAGCATCTCAAACAAACTACAGACCTTCATTAACAGTTGTCTTCGCTCAATACTCAAGATCAGATGGCGGGCCAGAAAAGATCAGCAACAGAGATCTCTGGCAATGAGCGAACCAACCAGGAACCGATTGTGAAACAAATAGGCAGGAAGAAATGGAGATGGATTGGCCATACTCTGAGGGAACCATCAAGTGACATCACTAGACAAGCCATTGCTCGAGTATTTTTTATTTTTTTATTTTGATTACAGCTTGATTCCACACCGTATTTTCAGTACAAGTATGGAATTTTCAGCATGGACATCGGTAGCCCAAATTTACAGGCCGACCATAGATATCGGTTGTGCGCCGGCAGGGGATCGAACCCCGGACCATGTGCATGGTCGGCGAGAGTCCTAACCACTGTGCCACCGACGCACGGAACCTGAAAGGGAAGTGGCGAGTTGGTCGTCAGTGCAAGGGTGACTTGGAGGAGGTCATGTGAAGGGGAGATGAAAACGTGTGGGCAGACTTGGAGCCAGGTGAAGACTCTAGCAGAGAACCGAACGCAATGGAGACGCACGGCTGAAGCCCTGTGTTCCTCTAGGAATTAAAGGAAATTATTATTATTATTTGCTACCAAACAGTTTGCATCTGAATCAGAAAACTTTAGTGAATGTATGCAGAATCCTCGTTTGTGGAATTAAGTCATAATTATCCAGAAATATTCACACATGTGAAGCTTAGGACCGTTCATTGGTTCAACAATTTGACTTCCAGCCCACCGGAATACGCTTTCGAATCACTCTCCAATTACTGAGGTTTAGCAGTATAACCAACCCTTACAAGATACGTGTAGTCAATTGTCGAGTACATGCAAATACAAGTGGTTTTTGAGTAACCCTATTTACTGTTTGGTCTGCTTCATGTATGGTAAGACTTCTATGAACTAAGGTGATCTGAATTGGCATAGGAATGACACAGTTTGAGTCTCTAAGGTACAATCAATCCGTCTTTAAATACGGGCTTTATTGTAAAACATAACTGAAATTGATGTATTACTCTAATGCGTAACTTGCAAACTTTTATTTTGGACTCTGTTGTCTAGGCTGCAAAATGATAATAAATCTTCAGATGTGTTCATTGAAAATTGAATAACAAACAAATAGTGTGGTACTACGAGTTCAGCTTCTATTCATCCTATTCCCAACAGTTATATCACATTGCATCCATGGATACAACTGTTAGTGAACAGTGCTCACTTACTGAATTGCTCCTATAGATTGTAGGGAGAGCAATGGGGAACTACTTCAAACATCTAAAATATTACCTTTTTACATAAGATTTGTAGTCTCTATATGTATATATATATATATATACCTGTATGCTCTAATTACTTACTCTAAACCCCAGGTAACGACAAGTTCAGTCTAGTTTACTCGGTTAAATGTTGAGCTTACTGAACTTCTTAAGCCCTACTGGGATTACAGCGGTGTCATTAATGTGAATGTAGAAATTTATTGTTCAGTATTTGATAAGCCAAATGGCTTTCTGGAGTTAATGAACCAATTAAATGTCAAAGTTTACAAAGATCTTAGAATCTCACCTATATTTTGAGCTCAGAGAACACAACTACATCGAAGTCATCCATCCACCTGAGCTACAAATCTTCTCCATTATACCTTACTGTTTTCTTGCTCAAATGTTGTAAGCTATTTTAATTACTTAACTTTTGAACTCAAGTTTGTCATTTTAAAGTCGTTTTATGCTGCATAAAGTTTTGTATTATACTAAGTTCTCTAAAATAAAAATAGCTTTACTAACTAACCAACATTTTTTTTTCAAAATCCCTTTTATTAGCGGTTTATACATCACTATACACGATCGACATCATATACCTGAAATTTTAAACAACTGGCCTGAACCACTTGTAAAGGTGAGGTGTTTGCTATTCACTGCACTATAAGTTATTGATTTTTATCATTTTTACTGATTTATTTTCTATGATCATAAGACAAGTGCATTTTTTTTGTAAGAAAGAAGCATATTGAAGTGTATGGTATTACTGTCTTAGGTCAATTTGGGTAGGCGCAGTTTGACGAAGTGAATGTGAAGTGGAAATAAAATCCGAATATAGTAAGTATCTATATACAGGGAATCGAAAATTTTGGAGTCATCTTAGAAGGAGAGGATATCTAGAATCGACCCGAACATAAAGTTTCAGTTCATGTAATATGTTCATAATTCTGTTTGTATAATCTCCAGTATTTTGAGTTCTTGACTATCGTTACAAAGAAAACGTTTGATTTCTGAGATATCTGGTTTAATCGTACAATTTGTTTCCAACTCATTCTATTGAATATGTAGAGAAATCAATGTACTCTGTGTAGTAATAAGAAAAATAGGTCAAGTAAACCTGTTAAGGTAATTTAAAATCTAAAAATAGGTATGGTACTAAGTGAAAAAAGACACATCACCGTATTGTTATTAAAAATTAAAAAAAGAGTAAGAGCCACAGAAAATGATTTGGTTTTTTTTAAAAAGAAAGATCTTTTTTAGATAGAATAAAGAATATGAACTTGTGGTTATCTCAAAACTCGCTAAAGAATTGGATGAGTGATAATATGATCACTTCATACCCTGATAGTTTTGCGTATGACTGCCTCTCATTATCAGTACTGAAGACATCTGTCCAATGCTTACTGCTTTTCAGCGGCTTTTTAAGTTGACGCTGTATCGTAGTGGAATCTACTTTATAAGATTTTATCTATTTTGAGTGATTGCCTGTACGCTGATTATTTCGAAATACCCTTAAAAATGTAATTAATTGCGAGTTGTAGTTAACCGTGAGCTCCTTTCCAATACGAAGCTCCTTGTTGTTATTTTAAACTTTTACGCTCACAGTGGCTCAAAGGATGATTTCTACCAGAAACTGTCGGAGTTTTCTGCCGACTAACCGACAACGGTGATCGTATTCTACAGTTCAGATAATCATCTGCTCCTAGTCAGCACTAACTTTTGGCACAAAGAGAGATGTTCCCTAACCTGGCTACCTCTATTACGAAATCAATGTTGGACTCAAAAAAACCACATAGCGATATGTTATCTTTGGCGAGGGTCAGTAGAAGACTGCCACTCCTTCTGCAATACGTGCCCTGGTTCGCGCACGTCTATGCTTACGACTAAACGGACATAAAAAAACTGTTGGCAGCGAAACAGTTACGCCCCCAACTAGATCAGCACACTGATTCCCTATTTAAGGAAGAAATAGAGAAACAAGTATCTAAGATCGACAGCAAGACTACTCCTGAGGAAGCCTGGCACAATATACAGTTAGCTGTAGACACAGTTGCCAAGGCTGTTAATAACCTGAAGCCAAATGTTAGTAAGAACCAGTGGATTTCTACTACTTCATGCGAACTGATTAAGGTAAGAAAACTGATTCCGGTGAGCTGCTCAAACACAAGCTAGCAAGGAGTCTTCACAACGACCGTGAACAGTAGTGGGCGACAAAAGCGAAAGAGATGGAAAAGGCATCGGCGATATGTAACACCGGACAACTATCTAAACTTATAAGGGAAACAGGTGGCAAAAGGCAAATGATAAGTGAAACAGTCTCTGAGAAAAATGGCACCATAATCAGCTCTCAGGATAGACGACTGTAACGTTAGAAAGAACACTTTGAGGAGCGATTTAATTGGCCTACAGCCACACTCAACTTATCAAGCATCCAACACTTCCCTAAACGGGATAAAAACACAGGTCCTCCGTTCCTAACTGAGGTTACAAAGGTTGTCACTAGTCTAAGACAAGGCAAAGCAACTGTACGTGATAGAATTACTTCAGAGGTATTTAAGTACGGTGGAGACAGTTTACTGTCTGCGTTAGCTAAGGTGCTAGGCAGCTTCTGGGAATGAGAGGTAGTCCAATGTGGGGGGTGTAAGTCGTTGATTATCCCGATATAAAAGAAGGGAGATAAGTCTTCCTGTGATGATAACCACAGGGGGATAAGCTTGACCAATATGGTATCTAAAGTTCTAGGCTCGATAATCATGCGTAGACTAAGTGGTACTCTGAAGGAACAAACACGGGAGAACCAGACAGGTTTTAGACCAGAAGTAGGGTGTATTGACGCGATTCTGGAACATAGGTATACTTACCGGCGTCCAACAATCGTCATATTTCTTAACCTGAAGGCGGCATACGATTCCGTCGACCAAGAGGTACTATGGCAATGTTTGGTTGTGAAGGGAATTCCGAAAACTACATCTCACTGATCAAGGTACTCTACTCGAACTCATGCAGTCAGCCAGATGAGAGCCTATGTAGAGTTGTCATCTGAAGTGGTGATAACCAGTGGTGTCCGTCAGGGATGCCCACTATCCCTGTTTCTATTCAATTTCATCATAGATGTGTGGTGAGAGCTGGCTGCTAGCCAAAGTTGGTAGACAGTAATTGACGTTAATGTTTATATCCCCAATATCGGTGGTGAGAAAATGAGAACAAAGGCTTTGCGTAGGCGGATACAGTTAGCATATGGATGATCTGACACAGGCACAAAGAGACGCAAGCTTAACTTTCTGTGAGAAACAATCAATCAAAAGACTGTATTTTCATCTAACAATAATCTACAATAATGTACATTAAAATCTATAAATATGTGTTGATTTTCCTTAATAAACGATCTGTTGCCTGACCCTAGTCTTCTGTTGTTACAGATGTGCTAATGGACTTAACCCTAACTGACTTCAGCGACTCAGGGATTGACTTGTTACCAGGGTATAATCTCGTTGACTTAGAATATGCAGATGATATAGTCCTTCTAGGTGAAGATGCTGACAAAATGCAGAGTCTTCTGAACACCTTGAGGCGCAGAAATCTTCGAATGCTTGGCATGCGATTTGCTCCCGTCAAATGTAAGACGGTGCTACAGGACTGAACTCTATTGATTCCTAGTTTAGACATATGAAGTTAAGTGGTTGATCGTGTTGACCACTTCACTTATTTGGGAAGTTGCATCAGCCCCAACGGTTGATTGCTGACGAAATCTCAGCACGGATACAAAAGGCTCGTTTTCCATGTACCAACTTACGCCATCTCTGACTTAATAGACGTGATATCCAACTGTCGACCAAAGGGCGTGTGTGTTGCTCAGCGGTTCCCTCTATCCTCCTTTATGGCTGTGAGACATGGTCATTGAAAGTGGAAGAAATGGAAAGGCCAGCTAGCTGTCTTTGATCATAAGTGTCTGCTTTCTATCTCCCGTGTGAAGTGGTATAATAGGGTGAGCAATATTGAGGTTAGGCGCTGAGTGCTATGTGAGGAGGGGGATTCAATCGACGAGGTTGTAAAGTTACACCAATTGAGATGGTTATGACGTGTTACGCATGCCTAGTCATCGCTTTCCTCGACAACAGGCAATGTCAGCTGATATAGGATGGATCAGGTTGGAAAAGAGCCAGCGGTATTAAAAACCAAAACATGACATCAGTCAATGAAATCCACAACAGTTAGTTTGAGCCACTTAGGAAGGTGTAGAGTTCCTGGTTGGGGTCCTCGAGACCGTAAAAACCAACGAAGGCTGTAGACAATTGGTGAAATGGTTCAAAATCGTTCTCAATGGCTGGCGCAGATGCATCCACTCTTTGTGATTTATCATATCCAAGAAAAATTCTATTATTCTTCCATGTTACTCTTCTTTTTCCCGCATACTTCTGTTTAATATCTGTCTTTTGAGTCTCTCTTTACTCTCTTCTCTTGCTTCGTGTGCTACATGGAGTGTGGCAACTCGAACTGATGCACATCTGTGCTAAGTTCAACACTGGAACCAGTCAGTCAGTAATTTTCTATTCAGAACTGAGTGATTTATTTACTGTTATGTGTGAACAATTGAAGAACCGCTTTCTATGATTACATGTCAGCATCATTGGGTTAACACTATAGAACGCACACTTTTTTGCCGCATTTCATAACTATTTTTATCCACATCAACCAATTGCTTTGTGGTTCTTGTGCGTAACTACTTACCGCGAGTGTTTTTTTCTTGCCTACCAAAGATAAATATTATCATGCTATCATCTTAAAGGACAGTTATTAGTAGTATTATTATCATTATTTTTTACCGGACATGGATTGTTGATAAGAATTCGACTATGAAGAGCGAACATGTGTTATTTCGGGACAGTTTTAAGTCTTTTTGTGGCAGTCTAAAGGATTTTGACATGCTTTACACTTTGATGCATGTGCAGTCGACACTAAATTATCGTGAAGATGTTTGATCTTATATACATGTATATATATATATATATATATATATATATCAAATACTTATCTGGTTTCTGAGTAAAGTGTAATCTAAAGAGTCATTGCACTTTAACATCTGAAGAATGGGAACTGGCGGAACCATGTTTATTATGTCTTGTGTAGCGATAACGCTGGAAATATACTCATTATCAAAAACATATGTTTGGAATTAATTTTATATAACAAGTTTCGGTAAAATAACCTGCTACACATATATGCACACACACACAAAGTGAAGTACATATACAAGAATTGGTCGACAGATGGTCATTAGGGTCATCCTTTTATCCAATATTAGCTAAAGTCTGAAAGTTGAATAACCCCCAAATGCGTTGCACTTGAATGCTACACTGATCAAGCTTTGTACAATCATACAATAGCTCATGATATCTATTTTACCTTACTGCATGTATTAATGGCAAGTTATCGTTATATGTGAACCAAACTGCAGTACACTATATATATATATATATATATATATATATATATATATATATATATATATATATATATATTATATATATATATACATAATGGTATCGGTTGGAATCTGTTAATCCAAATAGCAGATTCATTGCCTTGTCTTTAGTTTGATTTGTCAAAATATATAATCTAACGCTCATTTCCCCTTTCAGTGATTCATCTCTATGCTGCTTAAGTCTCTGATGAAAGGTAGTGCCACCAAATTAGTCTTAGTGTGATTTAACCTATGTTCGAAATGCACATAATAATAATAATGATTTTGCTTTATTCCAGAAACAGTACTAGTGGCACAGTGTGGAATTTTCAGCACATCTACAATATTTGCATCTAATTTTATCAAACATTTGAAAGGAATATTTCAAAAAAAATAAATATAAAGACACCAACAGCAAAAAAGACAGGAAAAACACAAAATAATTTTTTTTTAATGCGAAAAAATACCAAGAAGTAGAAAGGAAAATAAACAGCATATAATAATAACTCAGTATTGGGAAGCGGAAGCTATGATATGATTATGCGTGGCGACAGTAAAGCTATAGTCATACAAGAAGTTATGAAATGATATTTAAGAATGTTTATCGCCAAGATGATCAGTTAATTTGATTGAACAACACTAAACAATCATAAAATAACATTTCAGGGTTTTTATTGTCAGCTCTAATGCGGTGTTTGTAGTGGTAGTGTGAGTAATCCTGCATAATACAAAATTTTAAGGTGGTGACAATGGCGTTCACAACCAATGATTGTCAGTTAATATTGCCAAGAAAAATAAAAATAAGAAAAAACAACCATAAAAACTAATAATTACATGATGGTTAATGACAGGACAATTTTGTAATACTCATAGTGCTAATATAGTCAGAACCAGTAAATACACAAAAGAAGGAATACAGTAAAGTACAAAGAGTAAGCCAATGTTAATAATTTAGGTAGCTAAGTATGTTTAAGAAGGAGTTCACTATAGAATACAAAATAAGAGAGAAATAAAAGAGCCTAAAATTATGTTATTAACAACAAAGCAAGTCATAGGTTTCGCGCTTAACATTGTCTCTGTCGCTTAGAACACGGGCCAAGTATGGTATCGTTGGGTGCCTCACTAGGCTCTTATTGAGTGTCATCTGCAAGTGTTCTGTAAACCTTTGTAGTTTGTCCTATGTAAGTCTTTCATAAAAGTCAGACATTTTCAATCGTCTTCTATTGTGTCACTTTTACCCGTTACTGGCATGGTGTGAAGTTTTTATTTTTTTATTTGAAAAACAACACTTTGTAATATGTATATATTTTTGTACAGATTGATTTGTAATCTGAGAATAGCTGATTAACATTAGTGTATTTCCAAAAATTTGCTTTCCTAAGGCTATTGTATTCACTGATGGTGAACGTATTCTGGGTTTGGGTGATTTGGGAGCATACGGGATGGGAATACCTGTTGGGAAGTTATCACTGTATACAGCACTAGCTGGCGTTCATCCAAGGCATTGTTTACCAATACTTTTAGATGTTGGCACAGATAATCAAGATTTACTAAATGTAAGTTTTATTTTTGAAGTTATTAAGGGTTTTATTTTGTGTGATTTGTGCACTCTGTGTTAACGGTCAACAATGCGTCTATTCATTCTGCTAGTTTGTACTTTTTTCACACACTGACTTGCATTCATCAGTGTGTGTGTATGGTAATTGGTTTCTAGGTCACCAACCTTTAGATTTTAAAAGCTAGAATTCCTGGTCTCTGAAAAACATTTTTTTCTCCGGAAACACGAGGTAACATTTTACTAATAAGCGCTGCGAATTACTTTTGAGTCTAGATTATCAGCTATTTATCAACATTTCTACTACCATCCTTGGCATGTTAGAAAGATCGAAACTTTGTTCTAATTTAGTAGAATATGCAAGCAAGTGTTAGTCGCTTTGCCCCACAGTACTTAATATACTTCCCAAATAATATAAAGGTTTTCTAGTCACTTCCAGCCAATCATTAATTCACTAAAATGTGAAGTTTTTTTGAAAGCTACCAGGAAAATGTGCGTAGAGTGTATCCGAACCGAATTTGTTCCAGTTTCTGTTTCGAGTACTGGGTAAGGAAAATCTACAATGTGATGTGTGGCAGTACTTATTACCGGACACTCTCATATGTCATGTCTTCAGCAGCTTTCTTACAACTTCCAGATTCAAAAGATCTCTTTTAACGAGTTCACACAGTTCAGTGTCGAGAGCAACTTCGACTAAGGGTGTCTGTCAGTTGTACAAAAGTGTTTTGTACCTACTAATATGGATAAATATCCACCACCGATTTTTATGTTACCGCAGAGGGAAAACAGGATTTTATGCTCTTATCTACTTGAAAGAAAGTGAACTAGAAAATAGATTTCTATAAAGTTTGGTTGTCTTTAGAATGAAACATTATCACTTAGCAGTTGGAAATAGATTTGTACTTTACAGGTTTGATTTCGAGCTGGAAAATCAAAGAGTACTGGACAGCCGTCTAGTTCCAGTTTTGGACTCTTCATCAGAACGCACCTGCTTGTGATCGAACCCACGAGCTTCCGGTTACAAGGCGAGCTCGTAGAGCATTAGGCCACTGAAACCTGATCTAACGGCTCATGAATTCCAACTTTTACCAATTTGCAGTGCATAGCTCTGTCCAGTACTCCCCTGATTTTCATGTGGTTTCCTAACCTATGTCTGGTCGTGATCAGACCTGTAACCAATCGAATCCCTGCAGACCAGCACTTGAAAATTTGTACTTTGTGGACTCAAAATGCAGAAGTTGAAAAAGAACCACAAAACAGAAGAAGTTATATCCAATGAGAGGGGAAGCAGTGCCTACTACTGGTGTGTATGAAATTATAACCATGAGAGATAATTCATGACTCAGTTGAGATTTCTACAACTCAAGTGTCAATTCATAGTGCTTGATTTGATATTCAAGTAGAGGTTTGTAGGTCTGGTCTGGATTCAACATAGAACTTGGTACCGAAGGGCAGCAGTTCGAGTTGCCACGTTCCAAATAGCACACAAAGGTAGACAAGAAGATGAGTGAAGAGAATCAATAGAGTTTTGACAAGTATAAGAGTGAAACAGAATGAGTAATGGTAGAAAGGAATATGAAAGATTACAGAGACTGAATACATCTGCGTAAGCCATTGACAACGATTTTGAGCCATGTCACCTATTGTCTCCAGCCATTGATTCTTAGAGTCCCGAGGGCCCCAACCCGGAAGTCTGCATCTCCCTACCTGACTCAGTTCAACTGTCAAGGATTTCATAGATTGATGTAGGTTTGTAGGAATTTGATTGATTGTTTACAGGATTTCAACATGAACTGATATTGGTTAGAGAACCATTGGAAAACCAGCTGGGAGTACTAGGCAGCTGTTTCGTACTTGTTTGGCACTTGATTTGACCTTTCCAATAACTTTAAATATGTTTATCTCAGTGACTATGTTTGTCCAAAAGTTTGAAAGAAGCCATGAATAACTATTCTAATTTTTGATTGAGCAATAATAACCCAGTCATTTTCCGACAGTTATCTTGTATAGCATATTAAACTTAACTGAATTTTCGGTTACATAATATTAACAGCATTATCTGATATGCTTATCATTTTACTTACTAATATGTATGACATCATAATGATATTTTTCGGTGTTTACAAAACTATCACAAGAAAAAGTATAGTTTCATTAGTGAATTATTAAGGAATTCGGTCGTACATTGATAAAATTGGCACACACACACACACATACACTCGAATTTTTTGTAAAATTTCAATCCTTTTGGGTATACATCGATAGTTTTATCTAAGTTTATTCGTTTGTCAGTGTGTGTATGTGTGTGAATTCAAAGAGTGCGTACACAACGGTAAGTCAACTTACTGTCTGTCTGGATATTTACCATTTAAACTAAGGTATTATATATATATATTGGGAAGTAAGCCAAATATTCCAGTTGTTGTGCTTATTAGTTCGTTAGTCAGTTGATGCATTACTTACTCACCATGTACATAATACAATTTTACTCTCTAAGTCACAACTTCAGACGTTCTAAACAGTATGTCTTCATATTTACTACTAGAAGTTTTCATTTTTCAATGAAGATAAGATTTGTTGCCAGGTTTTCGAAGTTAGAGATAGCTAGCCTAACTCTTAGCCTATCAATATTTTAGTTTTACTAGGTTAAACAGAAATAATCGGTTTATTTGATAACTTTTTTTTTGAAACCTTTCAATGTTTTATCTCCTGTCTCTATAATATGTTTGGCAATAGAGGAGTTAGGTTGCTTGTTCTCACTATTAGTGAGTTCTGTGGATTATATTTGCTTCTGAAGCCCTTACTTGCTAAGACCGATGAGTCCTCCGTATGTAATGCGTGTCCACAAGTACATTCAAATTGGTAAATACAGTGGGGTGTGACATCGTTTTTCGCATATTCAAAAGGCTTAGATTGATATATCGGCTTCACATTCTGAATTATTATAATCTTAGCTGCATAAAAAGTCTTTTTAACCGCAGCATTCAATCTTTGTCCAGTTGTCAAGCCGCTATGATCACCCATATAGAGAGGGTAGCTTGATGTACACGTCTTTCTTAGCGGTGAGTTGGAGAGTGAGTTTTGGTGTTCTGACTACATTATATCTCCTAATGAACTTCTCTGGATAATTATTACCAACCAGAGTTTATGTCAAGTTTCTTTCTTCTTCATCGAGTGTGTCTCCAATGCATATTCTGAAGAGGCACCTCACTAAGGCTCTTTTGTACCAAACAGGGCAGAAACTGTGATAATTAAGATACTGTCCTGTCCTGTCCAGGGGGATTTTCCATAAATAGATCGTTTTATTGATCCATTAGGCCATCGACTAAGCAATATATCTAGAAAAGATAAAGAATTATCTTCCTCTTCTACAGACGTAAGTGATATGCTATTCTGAACTTCATTCATTCGATTTAAAATTGAGTTGGCAGAATAAGGCTTATTATCATTTATGATTACAATGTCGTCTACATACCTTCTGTAAAGTGGCACATTTTCGATTAAATCCTCCGATAAACTGTCAGTGTACGACATATAGATATATGCTAAAAAGGGCCTTAACGTAGTTCCCATAGCAACACCATCAACCCGACGGTGGCACAGTGGTTAGGACTCTCGCCGACCATCCACATGGTCAGGGGTTCGATCCTCTGCCGGCGCACACCCGATATCTATGGTAGGCCTGAATTTGGGCTAACCGATATCCATGCTGAAAATTCCATACTTGTACTGAAAATACGGTGTGGAATCAAGCTGTAAATCAAAAAAAAAAAAAAAAAAATCGCCTTCAAATGTAAACCTAACATTGCTAGTACATAGAAGTAATAAATTCCTTAAATAAGATATAGGGAACGGGATGAAAAAATTGTTTGTGGAAATGTAATCACACAAAATGCTCTAAGAAAATGCGAAAAATGATGTCATATCCCATCGTATTTACCGATTTGAATGTACGTGCGGACTTCACACATAGGGAGGACTCATCAATCTTTGCAAGTAAGAGCTTCAGAGCATATTCCTAAATGTTTCATCTTTTGTGTTCCGGTTTATAAGCGTCCAACACTATCAGGATTGTGGTAGACTTCAATTTTCAGTTAATCAGAACAGATAGAGTATACTATTTGTTACTTTGAAATATAAACTGTCAGGCTGATAACCTTAATGATTATTTGGTTTCTTTTGCAGCCCCCATGTACGTGTAGGCTGATTTATTAATTTTTTTTTGAAAAAAAGATAATAACTGTGTAAAGTTTGGAGTGTAATTTGAAAATGATAACTCAATTGTTGAATAATAGCAGCCATTTTATGTAGGACTATTCAATGATCATTATGATTAATGCATCATTTCGGAGCCTATTCGTTCATCCTGTGCAGTACTGAGTTCCAATAGACGTGTACTTCCTCAGTATGAGCTTCAATGTGCTTTCCAAGGTTACAGATTTATTAGAGGTATTCTGTTTTTAAAAAAACGCTAGAAGATGACTGGTGTTAACATATTTTAAACAACCAGCCGATTAGAGTTAAATTATGAGCAACAAGAGATGCGCCACACAAAATTTCATAGCTTGTACAGGTGCTGGGATACTGCTCGGATGCTCAAACCTAAGCAAGGTGGCTGTGTTAAGGAACCAACCTCCAAGCCTTTGACTTGAAGTCTGGTCCAGAAGGCAGTGGAGCAGCATCAGGAGCTACGTTCCCATGATTTCCAGTGACTGGAATAGATTCATACGCCATTCGATCTTTAGGTTTGCAACCAAGGTTTTCCAGCTCCTCTAAGTAGACTAGCATCTCCACCGGTCCAGTTGTTGTAAGCAGCATTCCCCCATTCACTTTAGTGAGTAACACGCCTGCCTCGTGTAGGCAGTGAATAGAAATTACCTGCCATAGGCTATGAACGCGTGACCACATGAGAAGATTTCGAGAGGAAGACTGAAGTCTCCCCACCTTCGACCATACCAGGTTGTTTATGGAGGCACCAGTTTATGGAGAAAACGGTGAATAATCCAACAAGTTAGTATAAATTGTGAAAAAGAAGAATCCAACCAAAGATGGTTATACTGTTCACATAATATCGGTATAATTTTTCTGCGATAAGCATTTTTGTAGTCAGTTGTTGAAACATGTCTATTGATTAAACAAAAGTACTTTTAGTAAACATTTTTCTGTTCTAATTATTGAATGGTCTTTCTTTGTTTACTGCATTAAAACAATACAATACAGTGTCTTTGTAAATCGTGTACAGTAGATCTGTAACAACTATGGGCTGTTACTGTGTGGTAATTTTCGCTCCTTTTATATTTTTTTAAAATTAATTTATGCAAGATATACTACTACATGTTATATCATGATGTGGAGATAGAAATTAGCTTTTGTTTAAATTAACTAAAACACTGCTTATACTCTAACCTTGTTGTTACCTTTTACTGATTAATTTTTTTTCTAGGACCCTGTGTACACAGGCATCAGACATAAGCGTATACGTGATGAACGATACGATGAGCTGATTGAGAATTTTATGCAAGCCGTCGCAGAACGGTAAGAATTATATATATATATATATATATATATATATACATATATATATGTTCCCAAGTTCATTTACTGTTCTGTCAACCGATGACTGGTAATATGCCTTGTTATCAGATTGGTTGTAATGAGTGTGTAAAGGTGTAGCTCATTGATTTAGGCGCTTGATTTCCTACCACCAGGTCACGTGTTCGAATCCTATTCCACCCCTTGTGTTTCGGGCAATCAAGCTGTGTCATTAGTCCTCACATTGTGTGTGTGTGTGTGTGGCCCATTGTGCCAGCTGTATAGAAATGCAAGTGGCTGTCAATTGGTAAGAAATGTAATTGCCAGAGGAATAAGTATCAAGCCTAGTGTATGAACACAGACTTTGTCAAGAACTGTTTCCATCAGTTATCGCAGCATTGTACATACATTTTTTCAACCTTCGAGTTTAAAAACGACGTTGCAGAAATAAAATCATTAAAATTTAGATCTATGGATGTTGGAGGATTTCATCATGAGCTCACATCAGTTAGAGAAACAGTGGAAGACCTGGGAGTACTGGACAGATGTTTTGTCCTAGTTCAGGACTCTTCATCAGTACGCACTCACCGCTAGTGTTCGAACTCAGGACCTTCTGGTTACAAGGCGAGCTAGCTCGTAGACCATTAAGCAAGCCACTGGGGCCCGATCTAATGGCCCAGTGGGTGCGTACTGATGAAGAGTCCCAAACTAGGACGATGTGAACAGCTGTCCAGTACTCCCAGGCTTTCCAATGTTTCTCTAACTGATATCAGCTCATGATGAAATCCCCCCAACCAGTCAAACAAAATCCCTACAAAAACCAACACTTGAAAATTTTTGGATAAGTTAGGGAAAGTCTGACTAAACCCATGTTCAGCGTATTTTTGTGTTGTGCAACATTACTGATGAATGATTTTGAAACAAATCGCATTACTCTGGTTTATTGATGAGTTTACTTTGTTGAACTTTCCATACATTCTGTTTGTGCTATTCTCGGAGCATGATTTTTAGTCAACCGAAATAAATCATCCTTGATAGTTCTTATGGTCAGCTTGTGACGCTTAGCGATAAGCACTTTAAAGCAGAGCTCTCAGCGTTTATATAGTGTGTACTATTGATGTCTGTAACATAGAATCTCTTTATTTTATGCTTAGCTGATTATAATCAACACCCAACATCCTAAAGAAGATTTCAATTCACAAAACAAATGTGAATACCGTTTATCAATAAAAATTGCATCTGATCTTATTGAAAATATCTAGTGTGAGTATAACATACAGAAGACAAGGATGTTTGTTACGTATATATCAGTTTGATAATTAAATCTTAGCTCACTTTCAGCTGACAGTTGTTCACCAACTATGGTGTAATTAATAACACTTCAACCTCAAAAATTAATATATTCTTAAATATTAACGTGTATGGGATTTGATTGATTTCAAGTCTCATCATGGGTTGGTATCATCTTTTAGAGAATCACTGAAAACCAGGGATTACTCTTGCCATCGGTTTCACCCTAGCTCTGGACTCTTCAGCAGTACCAACCCATGAGCCCTCACCGGGCACGAACCCAGGACCTTCTGGTTACGACGTGAGCTCGTTGGCTGTTCAGCCTCTAGAACGGAATCCAATGGCCCATGAATTCTACACTTCTAGTAATCGGCGATTACTAGTGCCAACCAGCTCCAGCCAATGTCATTAGGGAGTATTTGTCCTCACACCCGACCTGGTGAACCCCACTGGTTGGGTTTCATCACTAGCAGGGTCATTAATGAGTACTCTTTGGTTTTCAGTTGTTCTCTAAATGGTATCAGTCCGTGATCAGTCTTTATAGATTCTTTTTCTATCAAGTTACATGGGCTCATTATTGTAACAGGACGTCAATAAAATATTTTTTTTGATTACAGCTTGATTCAACACAGTACTTTTTGGTAGAAGTATGGAATTTTCAGCATGTGATATCGGTAGCCCAAATTTTGCAGGCGAGCCATTGATATCAGGTGTGCGTCGGCAGCGGATCGAACCCCGAACCATGTGCATGGTCGGCGAGAGTCCTAACCATTGTGCTACCGACGCATATCCCGTATTGAGAGTCTTTACTTGATTAAGCGCACAACAATAGAGGATTAATGATTGACATGCTTGTAGGCAATAAAGTTCGCATTCGTGACGTCATCTAACTATTCATATAGTATCACTGTATCCCTCAAGTAAAACAGAATATCATATTTAACCTGGTTTTCATCCTGTTGGCTAATCTTGTTTATTTTTCATTCTGTACACATCAATCAGCATAATGACACTTCTGTTTGAAATAAATAAATATTCAATAGACGACTGTTCGTTGCATATATACTAACAACTAGTGAGTCAGGCTTGTATCTATACTACTAATACTCTGTTCGTATATGCGCGTGTGTCTGTATGTCCAGATAACTGCATTTTGAAGCGAAAACATTTTCAGTGCTTTGTAAATTTGTTTGTTTATTCATCATTTAACTGTACAACGAGTTACCTCTGGATGATGCATTTATATTCACCTTTGTTTTCACCTTTGTCAGTTATGGTAATCATTGTTTGATTCAGTTTGAAGATTTTGGCAATCATAATGCTTTTCGTCTACTTGAACGATATCAAGATAACTACTGCACTTTTAATGATGATATACAAGGTAAGTTTTGTGTGTCAACTATTCTTCATAAGATGATTGACCAGCTTAACAAGATATGTTTTGTTCTTTTATGTATTCAAAAGTGTCGATGTGTTTCTTTTTTTTACTGTAAACTCAAAATACTTAGTGACTAGTAGGTTTTCGATACGACCTCAAGTCTTTCTTAGGTAAATTGTATGCGGAGGGCAGTTCCTTACCGATGACATTGTCTGGCGGTTGGTTGAGCTGTGTTTCGCGAATCGAGAGAAACTGGATTTCATGGGCCATTAGATAGGGTCCAAGTGGTTTAGTGTTCTACTAGCATACCTTGTAACAGGAAGGTCCTGGGTTTGAACCCCAATAGGTGTCCCAAGTGCGTCGGTGGCACAGCGGTTAGGACGCTCGCCGACCATGCACATGGTCCGGGGTTCGATCCCCGGCCACAGGATGCACTCCTTTACCTCGCTAAGACAGAACTAAAAGCTGGCGAAGAGGAAAGGTTGGGCATGAGGCTAGCAACCCCATCCTGTAAAAATAAACACTACTACAGAAACTTCAAGCCTCTAGTTTGAAGCCCTATGTTCCACTGGGAACGTGAAGGAATAAAAACAAAAAAAGGTGTCCCAAACTGAAACGAAACGTCTGTCTGATACTCCCCGGTTTTCCAATGGTTCTCTAATTGATGTCAGTTCGTGTTCAAAACTTGTAACCAAGCAAATCCTTGCAAACCGACACTTAAAATGTATGTTTCACGCCCTTACTGTCGCCACTGCTTTTTTTCTATAGTGGATTGAGTCCAAGTGCAATCGGTTATTGCATGAGTTAGTCACACTTTACAGTCTACTTCATTTGTCTCATAGACTACAGCGTTGGATCTCAGACAGACTCTAATCCATAAAACATTTTCTAGATATTTAAAAGTAACATAAAATTGCTTATACATTGTCCTTTTACATTATTCAGGAGTAAAGGTATCTGTCATGTCTTCAACACGTTATATGCCGCGTTATTTGTTTGTAAACTTTAGGCACTGCAGCTGTAGCAGTAGCTGGATTACTAGCTGCTTGTCGTATAACGCAACGCAAAATTACAGACGACACTTATCTCTTCGTCGGTGCCGGTGAGGTAAGTCCGAATCCTTTTTTAATCCATAGTGTTTCCTTTATCTTCGTCTGAATCACTATTATTACTATTATTACTCTCTTGGATTCCGAGTGGAACATAGGGCTTCAGCAGCACATCGCTACTTCATCGTCTTCTCTGCAGTAGTCGTCTTTAGTCGGCCGGCTCCATGATTGACCATAAGCTTTCATCTCCTCCATGCCGCTATCGGAAACCCAACTCGTCATTTTACATTCACTCTACGGCCTGGTGTGTGATATCATTCAGCGTTCTCCTCAGTGTGTGTGTGCGTCTATGAAAAGATAGTCCTAATTCGAAAATTACTGAAGACCAGGAATACCTTGTTCATCATTTCATCTCATCAGCTTTCATGTTTAACAGGGGTTGTCACTGAACCTCCCTCTACAAGTACGGTTGTTAATAATTTCCGGTGTCGAAGCCTACATGTTAATAAATGCATAAGTCATTTTTTTTAACTCTGATAATAAGCGTGTCTGCTTTTCTTAAAATTCATATTCCATCGTAACTTATTCTCTCCTATGAGACACATATCTACCTGCCTGTAATGAAAGTATAAACTAATAATCAACGTTTCTTCTCGCAGATAGCAAGGGCGGTTTTATAATAGAGCTGATCTTTGCATTCTGGCTTTAGTTTAACAGTATATGATACTGCTGTAAAACTACGGAGTGTGTTTCATCTTACTTACTTGATTATTTTCCGTGAAGTAAATACTCTAGGAGTTTTCTAACCGGATCTCGTATCTCTATACTGTATCAAAAAGTGAAACTTAACGAAATGATCTCAATCAGCATTGTATTTATTGACCAACACCTTGATCGCTCGCTACGGAGTAGCCAGTGCTGTGCTTCTAGTCTTTTGCGCTAGTGCAATGTGGTCACCAAAAGCTAGGTGACTCACCGTTGCAGTGCACCTTGGAATGATGTCAGTTGGTTGAAGGTAATCGGTAGGAAGCCCTGTGCTCAGGTTTCGGGATTTTGTTGGCACTCATCAACAAGGCGCATCTGCAGTCGCATAGGGACTAGATTCCCCAGAGAGAGAGATTCGAACCCGCATCACCTAGTGTTACAGTCAGAAGTGTTACCACTGAGCTATTCAGTGATATCGCAAACACTTTCTCTATTATACAATGCAGTTTAAATTCACTGTGCAATAAATCAATCAAATTTACATTCAGATAAGTGTGGACTTTTTTGATACTAAACATAAGTTTTATTGATGATATGTAGACTTTTCGAACACTGTGTTTTATTTGAATGATTGACGACAACAACACTGAGGTTAATCAATAAACAAAGCGTAAAGTTAATAGAAAACGCTTATTGTTGTGACACTCCTCTGGTTTACTAAATTTTGAATTTTGGATAAGCTTAGCTTACTTTGGTTTTGGAATTTTCTCTGTATCAAATTTGTTGCCTCACAGCATATCTACTTTCCAACTGTCCTCTTCATTTCGCCTACAGGTTAAATAGTTAATTGAAGAAATTGTCAAAGGTTATTTTTGTGCAACAGGATACTGGCGTGTTATACTGCGTACATAGTATGGGATAAATTTCAACAGAACGGGTTGTTCAAGTGTTGGTTTGCAGGGATTTGATTGGTTGCAGGATTTTCATCATGAGCTGACATCAGTTAGAGAACCATTGGAAAACCTGGGAGTACCAATCAAATCCCTACAAACCAACACTTGAATATCAACGAGATGCTCACTAGCGACTTGCCCTATTCAGGTAGGTAGTTACCTGGGGTTCTAGTGAGAAGTCGTGACCAGTAGGGTGCAGCAGGTCGGGTGTGAGGACAAATACTCGCCGAAGACATTGGCTAGGGGTCGCGCTATGTCGTGAATTCGCAGAAGTTAGAATTCATGGGCCATTGGATCGGGTGCCAGTGGCTTAATGGTATACGAGCTCGCCTTGTAACCAGAAGGTCCTGGATTCGAAGCCCGTGGTGTGGGTGCGTACTGTAGAGAGTCCCAAACTAGGACGAAACAGCTGTCTAATTTCTGCTGCTCTCTCTGTGTACTGAGTTTTGCTGACATTTCTCTCCGTAATAATTTACCTCGTTTTACAGTTCAAAAAGTGCATAAGTTTTCATGGCAATAGTGGTAAAACAACCAACCTCATATTCTTCTTCTTCTTTCTTTTCTACCTGCCTAGTAGTGTGCTACATAGTACATGGAGATATCAGTTACTTTTTAGCAAATATGTGTATAAACCCGTGTGTATGTTACTTCATATGTCGTTGGCTAAAAACTAATCGATTTATTGTCGATCGGTTTTTGTTTGGGTTACATTTGATTTGTTCTGCTGTGCCTAACCTATTTTTCTTACAATCAATTGCTTTTTATAAATAAATAAATAAAAATTAGGCAGCAACTGGTATCGCTCAGTTATTGGCTACATCTCTGCAGTTGAATGGGTTAGATGAACACGAGGCCTACAATAAAATATACATGTTCGATAAAGACGGATTACTGACGACTGTAAGTATTCTTTTATTCATTGTTATGAATTTTTAATAAAAAATTTTTTAAAGAACAGGAAGAAGGCGGTTCTCTTTAAATTTCCATTTACATGTCCCACCTACGCTTTATGGGTTTATTCCTCATTTACGTCTGCATAACGCTAAAGCTTATTCCTTCAATTATATTTTCATATCTGTTATGTAGTACATTGTCTCAATGGCTGACACTGATAAAGTGGCAAGGTGATATGAGTATGAGGATGATAAGTAGCACACTGGCGAAAATATTTTCAACCAAGAACGAAGTGCCCCAGCTCACACAATTAGTTCCTTTTTGAACGTTCACAGTTTCAGCCTCAAAAATGCAATTTTTTTCTAAATGATGGTGACAATGAAATAGTATAATGGAAATATTTGTGTAGGTGGAGGGGGGTATTATAAATCTTTCCTGAATGTGTTTTGGATAGCAGTTTAGGTGTTTGTTTTGAAACACGCAGTGTTCAGTATTACACAAAAGTATAAAGTTATCAATATGTACTGTTGTCACTAATTTTAATAATCCAAAATAATTGAATCCCACCCCGATTGGCTAAATGGTCAATGCACGTGACCTTGTAAACTGAAGGTCCCAGGTTCGATCTTTGGTGGGTGGGGTTGTCGGCGTTTACTGCCGAAGAGGCACTAGTACTCCCTAATTTCCAGTGGTTCTCTAAGTGATATCAATCCGTGAGCAAACTTGAAAACAATCGAATCCCTACAAAGTAACTCTTGAAAAAGCAAATAAGAACGACAGATGTAAGGCATCAGTTCAAATTACATAGCATGTTATCAGTCCGTTGTAATATTCGCCTCACTGGCTCATAATATGCTCTCGTTGTTTTATTCCCTTTCCTTCCAGTCACGAGAAGAAGGTTCGCTCACAGATCATAATAAGGTATTTGCGCGTGATGATGTAGAACATATACGTGTATTGGAAGATGCTGTGAAAACCTTGAAACCAACAGCGATTATTGGTATGTTATTCCCTTAATGAAACAGCCTATATATATATATATATATATATATATATATATATTACTGACTGTGTTTGTCTTGACCAAGTAGCGTGTCACTTGAAATCCCAAGTGACATGGTTATGGGTCTATTACAGTGATGCGTGTGTATTCACTGTTTATAATTATTCCGTAACTGATATAATTTTCAGCCGGTTTGTGCTTCAGTTGGTTGTTGTTGTTTTGTTGTTTTTTTTCCTATGAGCGTGAAGATCACTGAGTAACTCCTCCGGGTTGCTAACTACAAATGATACAAAACTTGAATTTAATATGACACTTCGGTAGAGTGATAAGTTGATTTGTGCAAACAAACTTTGTTGGATTATTGCCTGCCGTCTAACATTCACTGTCTGTCTTGACGTGAAAAATCACTCGCAGAATATATGCAGCGTATATGTTTCTTTTTTTACAACTTCCAGTTCAAATTGTGTGATATATGCTTTTGATTTTAGTTAGTTTGTTCAAGTGAGTAGTAGTGTAATGCAATGTTCCTAGCTGATTGTTAAATCCAGATAGAACTCACACTCTAAAGCAGCTGATTTAATCGACATTTTCTTGACACAAACAACCAATTCCCCTCCACACACACACACCCGCTCCGACTACAATAGCAACTCTGAAAGAAGAACACTCACAGTCACTGAATGTAGAAGGGGATGTTTTCGCATACCAATCGGATAACCTTGTCTATTCAACCAACACTTGTTGGTTGTCTCTCTTGTCTTTTAAGAGTTCCATTTGTTAATCATCTTGGCTTATTCGAAATTGTTTTTATGTTACTAACGTATGTGTTGTCATTTCGCATATCAGTATAAAGGGATTTTGTTTGCCATAAAGGCACAAACACGAGAAAACCAGGCAGGTTTTAGGCCAGGAAGAGGGTGTATTGATCATATCTTCACCCTCCGACAGATTCTAGAACATAGGCATTCCTACCGGCGTCCAACAATCATTATATTTCTTGACCTGAAGGCGGAATTCGATTCTGTCGACCGAGAAGTTCTCTGGCGATGTTTGGCTGTAAAGGGAATGACGAGAAAATACATTACACTGATTAAGGCACTCTAATCGTACTCATGTAGCCAGGTGAGGGCTTATGGCGAGTTGTCATGTGAAGTGGTGACGACTAGTGGCGTCCGTCAAGGATGCCCATTATCCCCATTTCTATTCAACTTCATCGTAGATGTACTAATGGACTTAACCCTAAGTGACTTCAGCGACTCAGGGATTGACTTGCTACCAGGGAATAATCTCGTTGACTTAGAATATGCAGACGATATAGTCCTTCTAGGCGAGGACGCTGACAAAATGCAGAGTCTTCTGAACACCTTGAGCTGCAATCTACGAATGTTTGGCATGCGACTCGCTCCCACCAAATGCAAGATGATGTTACAGAATTGGACTACACCGACTCCTAGATTAGAAATAGGAAGTGAAGTGGTAGAGCACGTTGACCGCTTCACTTACTTGGGAAGTACCATCAGCCAGTGCCAACGGGTTGATCTCTGACGAAATCTCAGCACGAATACAGAGGGCTAGTTTCACATATGCCAGTTTACGCCGTCTCTGGTGTAGACGTGATATCCGACTATCGATCAAAGGGCGTGTGTACTGCTCAGCAGTCCGCTCCGTCCTCCTTTATGGCTGTGAGACCTGGCCATTGAGAGTGGAAGACATGAAAAGATTAGCTGTCTTTGATCATAGGTGTCTGTGTTCTATCTCCCGTGTGAAGTGGTATAGCAAGGTGAGCAATACTGAGGTTAGGCTTCGGTTGAGTGCTAGGTAAGGAGCGAAAATCAATCGACGAGACTGTGAAATTACATCGACTGAGATGGTTAGGACATGTGTTACGTATGCCTAGTCATCGCTTTCCTCGACGGGCTATTGTAGCTGATAAAGGGTCAGGCTGGAAAAGAGCTAGCGGCGGTCATACGAAAACATGGCACCAGTCAATGAAATCTACAACAGTTAGTCTAAGCCACGTAGGAAGATGTAGAATTCCTGGTTGGAAACAATTGGTGACATGGCTCAAAATCGTTCTCAATGGCTGGCGCTGATGCATCCACTCCTTGTGACTTATGATTTCCAATTAAACTGTTTTGTTCTTCGTTATTACTATTCCTTTGTCTCACACCTCTGTTTACTGCCTCTAGTATGCATTTCTCCTACTTTCTTCTCTTCCTTTGTGTGCTACATGGAGTGTGGCGACTTGAACTGCAGCACATATGTGCAAAGTTCTATGTCGAAAACAGACAGACATAAAGGAGAAAACTAAAATTCCGTATATTGTTGTACCAGTCAATGTATTATCGTGTTTCAACCAAGTCATGTAAGATGTAATAATAACATTAACAGTGTACATGAACAGATTAAAAATAATATCATCAGAGGTGACATAAAAGTACATTTCAAGTGTAATCATTAAAATTCAAGTATTTCGGTCTAAACACAAGAAACCAATCGATAGCGTATAGCCTGCTGAACTTTCATGACTTACATACAATTAAAATTTATATTTCAACGAAATAAACCCACGGTTTGATGTGACATAATCTGTAGCACAAACTTATTTCAACAGTGCTGTCTTACAGCAATACAATTCATCATAAGTTTTGCGAATACACAGAAATCTAGTTGAGAACCAGTAAGAATATTTTGTCTGCAAGAATCAAACAGAAAAAGGCACGTTTCCGCTGACAATCCGTTGTCAAGCAGTCACCCCACTCTCTATCTGACCTTGAATTCGTTCAAACAAAATCGCAATCGTAAAACAACACATTATTATTATTAACACTATACAACTGGAAAGAGAGGCAATACAAGTCACGATCAACCCAAAACAATAATAGGGAATAAGCCAACGAGATACTCAAGTGTTAGAATGATTATGCACAGATGAGGAGAAAAGGTAGTAGTAGCGATATGATCACACAGCTGTATATAGACATTGAAGGGATGTGTAACACTTTATTCTATTAAACCTCCAGTATATCTCTGTCTGTAGACCAACCAAACCACATGAATGTAAATAGAAGGTTGAAATTCCACTACAACACAGTTAGACACTTCAAAATTGTTTGCATCACCAACCAACTTTGTTTAAATTTGTTATAACTTAATAAATCGAATTACCTTAATATTATTCCCCTACCGTATAGATGTGTGTGCGTGTTGTGGTCGGTTGTAATTGTTAAAATAAACAAACGTATCACTCACTTCATGTCAGTGAATGGTGTGATAACACAGGCTACGTATGTACTACAACATAAAACAATGAGAATTATAAATCGCTTGTTATAACCAGTGTAGTAATCTATGCTTGACCTTGAACAACAACAACAACAAACCTCATACCATAAAATCACAAAGCTTAACGAATTCATTCACAGAGTTGTTTAAATTATTATGTTAGTGGTGAGAGCGTGCGTTTTTTTTTGTTTTCAAAAAAGAAATAGCTGGATTATCCTGATTACATCCGTCTGAAGTCGGATTTTCAGTATAAGCCAGTGTTCACGTTCGCATGAACTACAACTTTTTGTGATAAAAGTGGCGATAGTGTTTGCATGTTTGTTTTTTGGCTATACTAATCAGTAGTATTTGAATGTGCAAGTAAACTATAAGTCTCTTAGTTTTCTTGTTATATATATATATATATATATATATATATATATATATATATATATATGAACAGAAATTCTCATTGAAATAAGTGGTCAATAACGATCATGAATCCTTTGGTCAATTTAATTACCTGATATGATCATGTATATGTTCTTAATTTAGCTTTGAACCGTCCTGTGCCATGTGGACTTTAACATTTACTACCATTTCTGCTTTTTATTTGACTACTACTGAATTCGAGATCCCTTTAACTCTTCTGATGCCAGATATAGTATGCCTCCGTATAGTGAAGGCTAGGGTGGCATACATCAACTTGAGCCACCTCTGGCGCCGTCGCGACGTTAGCCTGGCTGTCAAAGGTTGGGTATACAATGCTTCGGTGCGGGCTGTCTTGCTCTACGCCTGTGAAACCTGGCCTCTCCAAGCTAAGGATGTGCGGCGACTCTGCGTGTTCGATCATCGCTGTCTCCGCAGGATTGCTTGCGTTCAGTGGTATCATCGCGTGAGTAATTCTGAGGTTCGACGGCGTGTGTTTGAACACAGTGGAGATCACCATTCATTGAGTGTTGTCATCTGGAAACACCGGCTCCGGTGGCTTGGACATGTGCTGCGAATGTCATCCCAGAGGCTTCCGTACAGGTCTCTGTTCGCTAGCCCTGGGACGGGACGGGAAAGGCGGAGGGGTGATGAGTCCATGACGTGGCGTCGTGGAATGAAGGATATTTGTGCTAGATTAGCATTGGTTGGTGTGTCACGACTCCCTGGTTGGGCTCCGCGAGATAGCTCGAAACGTTATCGGATATGGCCAAGAATCGTAATCAATGGCGAACGTGTTGCAGTTTCCTTCTTTCTTCCCTTCCTGATGATAGTTAAGGAATAATATTTGAACTTGTTAAACATGACTGTTTTCCTTCCAGATGACGTTCTTTATCCGTTCTCTACCTATATTTTTACTTTTAATCTATGTTGTTTTATTATTATTGTGTGGCGCATCTTTCTTAGTGCCATATTGTACCAAGTTTTTTCCGCGTTTAAATAAAATCTATTATTTCTTGTCAATATTGTCATTCATTCATAGGCGCATCCGGACAAGGTGGTATTTTCACAGACAATATTCTTCATCAAATGTGTAAAAATTCTGAACGTCCAGTGATATTTTCCTTGAGTAATCCAACCTCGAAATCTGAATGCACTGCTGAAAGAGCCTATAGAGTGACAGAGGTCAGTTATTCATTCTTTAGTATTCTTAGACATTATATGTATTCCAACAACTCCCATTTTATTCGATCAATAAATTGTATCATTATAGGATTATCACCTTTCTTTCCCTCTTTTCTTATTCAAAATCAATAATAATTAATTATCTGGGTGTGACCTGTATGAGGTATCACACTCAAGGTAAAATGTATTCTAGTATTTATTTTGAATTGAGACTTCGTTTAATTGTCAACTCATAAATGGATTTGTTTAGAATCTTAAGTACCTTTATGGATAAGATTTTATCTTGATAAGTCACACAGTGTTGTTATAAAGTAATATTTACCACCTTTCGACCACAAACTATTGCTCATAATCATATCAAGGCACCACTCACACAACTTTTTTCCTTCATTTATGTACATGTGTGGAATTGACTAGATATTTAAATAAAAACTAGTATAGGATAATGTACATTCAGAAACAATAATATGAGTGTTATTGATCAATTACAATCAGATGGGAAATAAGACGAGTGAATATGATTATGAGCAATAATTTGCGCTCAAAACGTCATCAGTTAATATTACTGTACAGCACTGTATGACTTATCAAAATAAAATCTTATCCATAATGGAGTTATACTCTACCATGGTGCTCAAGTTTTATACTTATACCTTAAATACCTTTTTGTTTCTTTACCTTGAGGGAACAGTGAGTAGTAGAAAGAAAGGCGTGAAATTCCCAGCCAAAGGTGTATTCCACTTTCAGAATGAGAATTCTTGTGTTCGATAACACAGTGATATTCAAATAAGTCTAATTACACATGATTATTTGATCATGTCAGTTTTTGAAATAATAGAGTAACTATGTAGCTCAGTTAGGGGGATTTTGTTGTAGTATGTGACTGTGTTCCCTGAGAGAGCTGGCTGATTGAATTGCTAGGCTTTCATTATCTTTCTAGACAGCATTTTCAATGCAAGCTTCATATTGAAGATTTTGATTCACCCCAGCCCACCCGAACTCTGAGAATGCAGTCACGTTAAAAATTTCGGTTTTTTGTTAATTTTCTAAACAAAATCCTATGTAAATACTACTTCATATCCGATGTTATGATAAGGCCTGTTTTCTTTTCATCAAGGGTCGATGTGTATTTGCCAGTGGTTCACCTTTCAATGATGTAACACTTAAAGTTGCAGGTAGTGAAGTACGCTTTCAACCTGGCCAGTGTAACAACTCTTATATTTTTCCTGGAATGGGATTGGCGATTACACTGTGCGAAATTCGTCCAGTTCTTCAGGAGCTTTTTGTAGTTGCTGCTGAGGTAAGCATTATTTCTTTTTTTAACAGGATTTTACATTGTAAAAATATATTCATCGGAAAATTACGGTCGCTGTTTCTGTCTATTTTTCAGCAAGCTCGTTATGTCCAGGTGACACTGTGCAAGCATATTATAAACAATTTTTGTACGTGGTCCTCATTTCTGAAATATGAAAGATGTGAACTGAGCATCAGATTGGTTAGGGCATTTGTTACCATAATCTTAGTATGAATCTGGAAAGCTGTGTCAACAGTATGGTATCTATTCTAATGTCTATTAGATGTTAAGCATGCTTCTTAGTGCTGACTAGTTATTTTTAGATGGCTTTAAAAATTATCCAGGCACTTCATCAAAAAGCATAGATAAGTAAATGTAAGAGCTGGAAGAATACCCTGCAGGATTCATTAAGAAGTTCTTATAAATACTGTTCACAAATTAAATTTAAGTCATAAACAGTTTTGGTATACAAATAGGGAATATTCAAAACCTACTGTGGATTCCTAGTAAAAAAAAGAATTTGGGTAGCATTCAAACTTAGAGAGAGGGGATAGGCCAATAGGTCCTGTTTGGAAAGAATAACCTGATCTACCAAATACGTTTTGCAGTGACTGCTAGGTCAAGTACATATATCGATCCAGTAAATCAATGTTATTTAGGTTGTTGGAAGGTAGGAGGAATGTAACTCAGTGTAGAATATTCCACCCTAAAATTATAGCTGACTTAGAAAAAAGGTCGGGTCTTGCAGTGCATGCATTAGTATACAATACTGTGGGACATAACTACAGTTCTAAAGCTTAATTTAGTTATTCACTAAATCCTTATTCATTAACAAACACATGCAATATAAATGACGCAACTTGGATATCGAAAATAATATAACCAATAAAATCAACTGGTAAGAGGGGTATTCAAACATGAAAGTGATATGTGTCCTGATGTAGACATGAGCAACGAACTGTATTCGAAAAGGATCAGTAAATAAATAATGCTGTATTTATTGTATAGGGTATATCCAAAGCAATTATTCTAATTAAGAAAGTCGATTAAACTTTTTAAAAAAAAAGACTCATCCACTTTTAATTGATTAAAGATGCCCACTGGGAATTTCAAAAGATTGATTAATGAACCAAGAATATTCTATTCGACAACTTCACCATCAGGTTCTACAGTTATATATCCATAATAATGAAAGAATCATTGTTATTGATAAGATTAGTGGTTTTTAAAAGAGTAACATCAAATCATTTGCATCAGAATTCCAAAAGTTATTTGCAATTGGATTGTTAATAGATTGTAGCCCAACATTTATGTGGTAATATGTATAATTGTAATACCAAATTGAACACCAATATTACAAAGTAAATGATTATGAATGACAACGAATGTATAGTAATAAATCCTCCTGAGTCATGTTTATGTTAAATTCTCCTCATATTGATTATAAACTTCAGATGGATGAATGATCATGTCAAGGACGGGGTTATAGGAGAAATTTTGGGGTAGAATTTTATGTACGTTGTATGTGTGTCAGTGTGTAAGAAAACAAAAGGTTAGTTAATATAAGCGTAATGACAAGAGGTAGGGGAATTTATATGTACGGGATGAAGGGCCATATCAATAACGGCTGTATTACAATAAGGTATCTATGAAATTGCAGATTCCATGGCAGGCCCGGGAAGTAATGGTGGTTGGACTTGCTTCTTCTGCACACAAAGCACTGGTTGTTTCACGTGAATCACGTTATCCTCTGCTGTTTGGAGTATGCAGTACCTGGATGTTTTGGCAGTTTATTTGGTAGCCGGTAGATGTTAAAGAAGGATTCTTCAATGATGGCTTTGTGGCCGGTTTGGACCCAGTGGTCTAATATTGAACTGTTGATAGTTTTTATCACACCTTTATTTAGCGACACTGTTGATGTTCCCGAGCACGAAATATCAAGTCCCTAGAGTATCGGCCAATAATAGCTGCCTCCACAAGCGCAGTTGAATTGTTAGATACAATTAGAAGTTGCTAGTCTAGGTACTTCATCTTTCCATCGAGGAATTACAACCGGTAGTGTAGAAAATATGATTTGTAGTTTGGCAGCATTAAAAGTTCTGTGAGTAGATTTCCTTAACATGTTAGTGATTACTTCATTCGGTGCATCACCCTTGAATTGCAGTCCTATATATAAAGACTTCTTGTTTACAGAAAGAGAATAGCCCTTTTCTACTTTCTTGGTCACGTGTTTCTTGATGAACTTTTCTGGATAGCTATTTTCAGTTAAGGTGTCACATACAATCCGAAGTTCATCTTCAGTTACGTCTTCTGAGCATATAACTCTGATCCTGTAGCTAAGAATCCTCATTAAATTTCTCTTGTCCTAGAGGGGAAAAAGCTCTGGAAATGTGTATATTGGCTTGTCTATGTACTTTTCTTATGCAAATTTCTCTTTATACTACCATCTGGTTTTCTTGTAAGAAGGAAGTATAGGAAAGCGATTCTATTTTGGGATTCTTCTTCACACTTTTATCCACTTTTTGTCACTATCTGATTAACTGAGTTTCAGTATCGAACTTCGCATAGAAATATAGCATTTCAAGTTGCCACACTCCGCATACCATACAAAAGTAAGAGGAACTATAGTTAACAGAAGAATGCTGGAGAAAAGAATAACTACATGGAGAGAAAAAATGGGAACTTGATGAATCTGGGAGATTACAATGAGTGAATGAGCGGTTTTGAGCCATATTTCCAACAGTCTCAATCCATTGATTCTTGGCATCCCGTGGACAGTAACCTGACAATCTACACCCTGCGTGCATAGCTCAACCCAATAGTTGAAAACTTCATGGATTGATTTCACCAGCCCTGACTCTTTCCCAGCCTGTGTCAGCTTACATTGCTCGACGCGAAAGGTGATGGCTTGGCATGCATAACATTTGTACTAGCCGTATCGACTGATGTAGCTTTACAGCCTCATCGACTAACTACCCCCGCCTCCTAATAATCTGCGGCTAACCTAATGCGGGAGGTAGAACGCAAATACCTATGGTCAAAGACAGCTAGTTTCTTCAAGTCTTCCAGATTCCACGGCCAAGTCTCTCAGCCTTAAAGAGAGACAGGACAAACTACTGCCCAGTACATACGTGCTTTGATCGATGGCCGGACATCACGTCTACACCAGAGATGACGTAAGTTGGCAAGTGATACACTAGTCTTTTGTATCCGTGCTGAGATTTCGTCAGCAATCCGTCCATTAGGATTGGTGCAACTTTCCAAGCAAATAAAGTGGTTGGTTAATGCATTCAACCATTTCACTCCCTATCTTTAAACTAGGATTCGATGCAGACCATTCCTGTGGCATCATCCTACACTTGACAGAGGTTAGTCGCATGCCAGGATTTCTGCTTAACATGTTCAAAAGACTCTTCAATATGTCTTCACCTAGAAGGACGATACCATCATCTAAGCGTTCATTGTGTTTTTCTCGTATGTCTTTTCGTCTCTTCCTTTGAATACTACTGCTTATTGATTTGCCACGGCTTATACCACTTTTTCGATACCTTAATACTCAAGCAAAGGATGACAGCTTATTCCGCCTTGGAGTGTACCTTGTCTGCAAATATATGTGACTGACCAATTATCAACCAACTTACATTCAATTTCCATGAAATTGCTACCCAATTATAACAGTTTGTTAAGAATTTCCGTCTGTATGAACAAAGTATCCCACACGGAGGGGTTGATAAGCAGTGCTGACAAGTTCTAAACTAATGAAAGAGCTTCCCACTATTCCTTGCCTTTCGGCTGTATTAGTTTGTAGACGAAACCACCTTTTTATCAATTGAATCCCCAAACACCTTACAAATGAATAAATAAAAAATAATTTATGTATATCAAAGTTACCAGTCATCCAATTTCTTTTTACCGTGTAACATTTCGCTAGGCACTCTGTTTTCAGTGATATATATATGTATAAAGACAACTGATTCAATTGCTATCAACAACCTCTGGGGATTAACAATAATGCTTTTTCTTCTCGTCTTTTCACTCATCCAGTGTCTAGCGGAGCAGGTAGATGAAGAAGACCTGAAAGTTGGTCGTGTATTTCCCCCTCTGAAGAATATTCGCAACGTTTCGTTAGCCATAGCGGTACGTGTAGCAGAATATGCCTATTCCAAAGGTGTGTGTCACCATGAACCACAACCAAAGGATATTCAGTCGTATTTATCCCAGAAAATGTATGATCCTAACTACATACCAGTCATTCCTGAGGTGTATGACTGGCCGTCTGGCACTACTGATTTACCTTCATAACACTGATATATATATATATATTCTTATACATTGTTGATTACTATCATTTCGTCATATTACATCCTCTCTTTTTTTTTCCTCTTGCTTAATGCTTTTGATGACGACGATTTGAAATTGTGATAATTTTACTCTCTTGAAAATATTGTTGTCAGGGCCTAGGCTCTTCATCTCTGTGAGAAATATCCTTTTTCAATTCTAATGTATTTTTATTACTTTAAAAATTCTGATTCATGAGGTAATCTGTCAATTGTATATTTTCTGTGGAATTGTCATCGAATATTTGACGTCGTAGAAACACATCTATCGTCGTCTCGTCATGTTTTTGTGTGTATCGATTTGTTTGTCTAACTAGTTCCTTACTTAATGCTCTCTCTCTCTTTCTATCAAGCTATAGTAATATACTTTCAATTGTTGGCATTGTAGTAGTCACTCGATGATGTACCAGTTGGTACTTTCATTTGTCACACACATACAGACATGTAATAATGATCTCTCTATGTTGATTAATTCAGTATCAGATTAGAAATACTGCTCATTCATTATGCCAGTACTTTTCGTATCACCTTTAATGCACAGTTTTGTCGTCTTCACTCACGCATCGGTTTCATTAAGGGGATGACGCGATAATTTCTATTCACACATAATAATATCTGTCTGTTGAGTACACGAATTTATAAATGATTAGCCGGATAGGAAAAAACTAGCTTTGTAAATCACGTTTATTTCACCACTGATTACTCCTAGTTCTTTGTAAGTGTTGGTAATAATAATAATAATGATTTTGCTTTATTCCAGAAACAGTACTAGTGGTACAGTGTGGAATTTTCAGCACATCTACAATATTTGCATCTAATTTTATCAAACATTTAAAAGGAGTATTTCAAAAAACAAATATAAAAACAACAACAACAAAAATGCGAAAAAATACCAAGAAGTAGAAAGGAAAATAAAAAAAACATAATAAACAATATCTCAGTATTGGGTAGTGCAAGCTATGATATGTTTATGCGTGGTGACAGTAAAGCTATAGTCATACAAGAAGTTATGAAATGATATTTAACAATGTTTATCGCCAAGATGATCAGTTAATTTGATTTAACAACACTAAACAATCATAAAATAACATTTTCAGGGTTTTTATTGTCAGCTCTAATGCGGTGTTTGTAGTGGTAGAGTGAGTAATCCTGCATAATACAAAATTTTAAGATGGTGATAATGGCGTTCACAACCAAGATTGCCAGTTAATATTGCCGAACAAAAAAAATGACCACAAAACCAATATTACATGATGGTTAATGACAGGACAATTTTGTAATACTCATAGTGCTAATATAGTCGGAACCAGTAGATACACAAAAGAAGGAATAGAATAAAGTAAAAAAAAAGTAAGCCAATGTTAATAATTTAGGTAGCTAAGTATGTTTAAGAAGGAGTTCACTAGAGAATACAAATAAGAGAGAAATAAAAGAGCCAAAATTATGTTATTAACAACAAAGCAAGTCATAGGTTTCACGCTTAACATTGTCTCTGTTACTTAGAACACGGGCCAAATATGGTATCGTTGAGTTCCTGTACTTGGTTGTACGGGCATATATTATTTTGTACTGATGAGATACAAGGAGAGAGTTGGGAATAGAGGGGGTGTATTCAGATGCCTTTCTACTAATGTAGTGACGAGCTGACTGAGTTTTACACCACTAGTCCTACTAACTACCTTTAACATCCTTCTCAGGATGGTATAGTCCTTTTCCAGTAGCCCAGGAAAGACTAACGGGGAGCAGTAAAGAAGAATAGGTAAGATACAAGAGTTGACAAATTGTGAAAGTAGAGGTTGGGTGATTCCAGATAGTCTAAGTTTCTTAATGTAGTAAGTTAGACGGAACACTTTCTTAGAAATCGTTAGGATATGAGATGACCAAGTAAGGTCGGAAGATAGAACTAGACCGAGGTATTTTGCATTAGACTTAGTTTCAATTTTAGTCCCCTCAATGCAACGGGCTTCATGAGTACTTACTAGTGTTTGTAGATCTCGTTTATCCCTAAAGGAGAAGTCAGTAGTCTGGCATTTTGAGGGATTCAGCATGAGGCCATTTAGTTTAGACCACTGACTGATGTCCGACAGAAAGCTATTTAATTTGAAACAGTCTGACTGAGACTTAACGGGAAGCGAAACAGTCAGTTCATCTGCATATTTGACGAAGTTGATTTCGTCTGATAGAACGGTTGTGCAATTATGGTCATTAAGCTAAGTGATGTGATACTATGATGTAGTAATTTCAAATTGGACATAGAAGAGTGGATTAGCTGGCAGAAAGTCCTACCAGTTGAGACAATGGGATTCCCAGTCAATATAAGTATATTCCCTGCTAGGTGTTATGCTCCGACTGCCTGATTCAGAGTAATTCTTCTCTTGGCGTTAAATAATCAACAAAAACGTTATGAAATCCAACACCGTTAAAATTTTGCGACAAAAGCTACTTCTCAATAAATACGACACTGACCTGTTTTTTCTAATTTTGTTAAGCTGCGATAACATAAACTGAGCAGTTACTAATGTCTGACGCATACTTCATGCAATAAATAATTGAAGCTTTATGAAGACAGTCTCAATAGGATCACATTTTTTCCATACCCTTTCTGTGGAATAAGTATTTTTTCCCAATCAGAAAATAAATTTTTCTCTGTTGCTTTTTAACTTAAAAGTAGTCAAGCTCGTCCAATTCCAGTTGGAATCCAGAAGTAGGCGGTTTGTGCGTAATTAGTTCTTCAGACAGACACTGATGGCGAAAATGAACTGAACTGCTCTGAGAGTTGTTAATCTAACTGCCCTGAGTAACGATTAGAATATATGAGTGCTTGAATACACAACACATAAACTGTGTAAATGCGTTGGCTGGAAATTATTGTGTCAGTGTTATTTATATTATCTTTGTTTCTTAAACTAATATTGGTGTAAAACAAAACCTGTATTTCAGTTTACTTAGGGTTGTTATGTATCATGTCGACCTTTGTGAACAAGCTGAAATAACTAACTGTTTTCACTTTGTTAAAAAACATAGTTTCGATTTTCACTTAAATCCAAAAAAATAATCAACTAAATCAAGACTTATTTTTCAAGTTTGATTACGGATTGATATCAGTTAGAGAACCATTGAAAACCAGCAGGGAGTACTAGACAGCTAGCTGTTTCATCTTAGTTTGGGAATCACCAGCAGTAAGCATTCACTGCCGGGGTTCGAGCCCAGGACCTTCCAGTTACAAGGCAAGCTCGTATACCATTCAGCCACTGGGACCCGATTCAATGGCCAGCCCATGAATTCTAACTTCTATCAACTCGTGATTTAGTGCCACCACCAACTAGCGTCATCGGTGGGAAATCCATCCTCACACTTAATTGGATGGATCTCACTGGTCACAACTTCTCACTAGAACTCCATTCTGTGGAAAGTCACTAGCGAGCATCAGATTAATTTTCAGGAGTTGATCTGTAAGGTCTAACTCGAAAAATCAATCTAATCCTTACAAACCAACTCCTGAAAATAAATCAAGATTATAAAACATCGTGCGTCCAGCAGTTGCTAATCCACTTGAATGAAATAAATGGAGTATGAACTGAGATGAATGAGACATACTTGACAGTAATTAAGGGTGTAATATGGGTGGAGGTAAAGATAGTTGCCAAGCTCTACTCTTTTTCTGTCCAATTCTATCGGATACCAGAAACAGCTTCATAAAATGGTTGGGGACATATTGTTGCACAGCATTTAGTTTACACCAATGTTGCTTGTTCATTTGATATAGTTATGGCTAAGGCTTTGCAACAACGAAGTGAAGCAATAATATTTATTTGTACTCTTTTTTTAATTGAATGCAGTTGAGAAAAAGTAGTGTATTTCAGTCACAATGTGAATGTTGAATAGTTTCTAGCATACCTGAGGGGTTCAGAGATTTGTATGCTAGTCTGACACTCTTCTGTAACTTCATCATAGTGTAATAGATCACTACTGACGTCGTATTCTCTTCATTCAGTGGAAATCCTGCAAGTGTTTCTGAGGTCCCACCCGGCGTCTTTAATTTAGTACAAGTTTTTGTTAAACCTTTAGCATATACCTTCTATGCGTGTTATCATATATCGACTTCTAAACTATAGATTAGAAAGAGTATAGGAACTATCAGTTTGTAACTTGTAAATTAATTAATATTTGGAGGTTTCATATAAAAAGCGTCTCTTTGTTGTAAGAGTTAACAAGTGCTGTAAAGTGTCGAAGCCACTGACAGTCTATTTGCAAATTTCCCTTGTTTTCCCCAATAATAATAATAATAATTTGATTTATTCCAAAACAGTACTTGTGATACAGAATGGAATTCTCAGCATTTTTACTACAGTATTGCATCCAGTTAGTACATCATCAATAAATAGAATTCTACATAGATTGAGGAAACCACAGTTCATTATTACAACAACACATTGGCATGTCGGTAGCAAAGGTAAAGCTGAACAGTTTTTGAAGGTGTTAGAAAAGTAGGAGCTGTCATATTTACTGGCGTAAGCGAGAGAAAGAAACAAAGCAGCACATAACGGAAAAAGGAGAGAGAGAGAGAGAGAAAAGGAAAAGAAAGAAAGAAAATGTTGTACCTATAAATGATATGAGTTGGAAAGACGAGGTCCAGTTGTTCTACTAACTATTTAATGAATTATAGGTGTCACGCCTAATGCTTTCTTTATCACACAGAACACGAGCTAAGTAGGGTATGGTCGAGTTTTTGTACTTGCTGGTGCGAGCATATAGTTTTCTATATAGGCGTCTGGTTTTGCCTGATGAGATGCAAGGGGAGAGTTGTGAATGAAGAGGGTGATGTGAGTTAGATAAAATGGATTTGGCCCATTTTTCACATGAGTCCATGTGCCTGTCGACCAGAGTATTAACAAGCTGGTTAAGTGGCACGTTGTGATACGAAATTAGTGAAATGAAAGATTCTTATGGTCGCTTGTGTTCTTGTTTCTTTGTTTGTTTTCTCTTATGTTATTTGCCTTATTTCATGATTGTGTTCAGTATATTAATCGACTGTAAAGTGTTGAAATAGTTCTTCTATCACCTATAAATAAAGTAGAGTCGTTTCCTTCCCCCCCCCCGCCCCATTATTGTGCTCTTCACGAAGGCTTCAGTTAACTGGCTTTCGTATTCTTCTGGAAGGAAACAGACTCCTAAATTCACTCCATTTTTCTCTGGTTTGAGATTATCTTAATTCATGTTCAAATGACAGTAATTGGTGTGTCTTATTTGTTCTACATCTTCACAGATAATTGTTATTATTATGTTGGTCGTTCTGAATGACACATCTCCATTGTACTCTGTTTCTACTATCATTTTCAATTGGGTTCACAACTCCCCCCCCCGCAAGCTTTCATTTTATCATACATTTCACCCTTGGACTCCCAACTCATCGTTCCAATCGATGGCCTGACACGTTATATCGCTCAAAAGACTCCACAATGTATGTTCAATCTATCACCATTTCCTTCTGGATATGTGTTGAGTAGTGGACTCTTGGTTGGTTCGCTACCTATCATAGTTTCTTGTTGCTTTTCCTTTCCGACTGGCCCTCTGATCTTC